CCAGTTTCTTCTGGAACTCACTGCCACGCGGCATTCAAAGCACGGATCTCGAGGTGACTCGCGTTCGAATCTGTATGCAGACTGTCTTTTGTAGGATGTATAAGCAGTGTGACCCCGGTGTTAGGGGTTGTTCGGCTTGTCCATGTTTTAAACATTAAAAAGCATTTTAAGCATCCCCCTAAAAGAGTGCTTTGTTAAAAACGTCTAAGAGGTTCTTTTAAAGCTTTTTTCTTTCATGCGAAATATTTCTTTATCGCTTATTTATTTTTCTAGTGTGCCAGGGGGCGATGCTGCTTGAGGCGAAACCGTTCTTCACGAACTGAAAGAGTTCTTGGGGCGTCAAGAAACCTTGCAAGAACGGATTTTTATTAACATTTCTTAGCGTGTGTAATTTAGTAGATAACCTGTGTTTTGAGCGACTGACCTTTCGATATGACATATAAGAATCCAGCAAACATTATAATGCACGATATAAACGAGTAATATTTTGCCGAAATTTAATTTTAGCGTTGCTAAATATTAATAACAAAAGTTTTATTTCATACATTTATCGTGGGAATAAATCGTACAAGGTAATTTCATGGAATATATGTCCCAGCTTACCTAAAATAGCGGCATTTCAGACTGTGAAAATCTTCCCAAAGTACGCACTATAAAATAGTCAGCTAAATATACTACCTAACCCCGCGAACCTACCGCAGTTTACGGCACCTCGCAAAGACTGTTTCAAAACGGAGATCGCGTGTCAAGAGAAAAAGTGTTTGACACGTTTTATTGCAACGTGCATGTACAGTGAGCGATCATCCTAAATTGGCACTCATCCCGAGAGCAGAAATAGTCGCGTTAACTTTTTCCAGTTGTCAACTACAGATATCCAATAGCGAGGAAGTCGGAAGAGACATCGTGTACACACACAGGCGCCCATGCTTTCGAACATCCTTCTTGCGGATGACGTCACTTCCCTGTTGGGGATGACGTCACTTCCCTCTTGGGGATGACATCATTCCCAGAACGACGGGCGTCTGCCGAGCCCACAGGCCACGCAGACGCCAGCCGTTCCGGGGGAGGAGGGAATAAAAGGGAAGGAGAGAGAAAGAAAGAGAGCGAGAGAGAGCCGGACACGCAGGCGGAGTAATATTGATCGGCGGGGTTCTCTTTCTCCCCATCCCGCGCTCCGTGAGCTCCCTCGGTCCCCTTTGTGGCATTCCCCCTTTTGAGGAGGTGAACGGCTCCGATAGAGCGGTGGGCGGACACAGGAGGAGAACTTTGATCTATTTTTATCGCAACTGTTGCTTACTTGATGTTTGTACGAATAATACGAATTGAAATACGCCCTCGTTCAGTGCGTGCGTGGTGGAATTGTTTGGTAACTCTTTCGGGAAAGGACGCTCCTGCCCACGCGAATCGTGTCCTGGAGCAAGTCTAAGGATACAATTTGTTGCGTAGCCGGGACGTTAAGCGTAATTACGTTCCCAAATATTTCTGTCCTTCCAATTGGTTTCTTTCTCGTGACAATTCTTTAAAAAGTCAGCGCAGTGTTGAGAGGAAAGAAAGCATGTTTAGAACTACTCACGGGGATAACGGCCAATGTTGCAGTCTTGTTAATTGGGGACACGCTGTGAAGCCAAACATGTCCACATTCCTACTACGGACTGCCATGAGCATTTATAAGATTCCTGACCTGTTATTGGCATCACCACTCAATCCCTGAAAATTCCCGGCCCGGTCTTCTGAGCGCACGTATATATAATAATAAAACGCCCGAAATCTAGGGAGGTAGTTCCATAAACTCGATGACTCTCGCTATATCTGTTGGACAAATACCACGATAGCAAGGATAATTGTCTCCACTCCTCTTACCCTCTCATTTTCTTCTTGCCAGTTCAGCAATTTGTAAACTAACGCTGCCATTTGACACTACCTTTTTTTCTTCTTTTTTTGCCGTAAGCTTGTCTTCCTCGTTCAAGTCGGTACCTCAGGTAGCTCTTGTTCTCATCAGAAAAGGTTGCTGAATAAGTTAGACAACGTTTTCTTGCGCAGTTTTTAGATCACAAAGAAACAAATAGATTAATTTAGTCTCCATAGCTGTACTGTTTCGCAGGATTCGCTCGCAGATTGTTTCTTGGAGCAACAGCGACAATTCTGTATCGTTTTCTGCATTTTCGTATTTTATACCCGGCCTTTTGGTTACGCACCAAAGGCTGGTATTGCCACAGTGTATCATATGCACGAGGAACAAGTGGAGTCACAATTAACACTATTTTGCGAATTTTTTATAAATATCGAGTACTATAATTATACCAGCTTGTGGCTGTCGTCGCCAGGGAAAAAATGTATATTTACATTCTACGAAAAAAAGAAAAGAAGCTAATTTTGACATTTTTGATATTCCAGACTTAAGTCTTCACTCCAAAAGAGTCGCCTCATTCGCTTCCGCTGCATTTTTGAGACAGGCTGTGACGGCTTTGACGTCCAATCAACAAACCCTGTCTACAAGCAGTGCAGAAGGATTTTCCGTTTCCTTACACGGTTACAGGGGGAGGGGGAGGGGTGGGGGGGGGGGGGGGGGGAAGGCAGGCGAGCGTGCCGGGGGGACTTTTTTTGCAGTCGCTCGGTCGTGCTGTCATCGACACCTTAAGAAAGGAAGGGCGAGGCGAATTACCGGTCTAACAACAAATATAGATCCTGGAGAAGGGGAACAAGGGGGACATCTTACCGCTTCGTAAGCGATATTAAGCGTACGCGTCATGTGGCAATAGCTGACAAGAAAGCCGAAAAACAAATCACGATAGAAATGAGCATGAACATGACGAGTCACAACCCGCGTTTCTTAAGTTATCAGTTACCGCTGCTCGAGCCAAGTCGCGGCTGACGGGTTCGATATTCTACGAAACTCTCGGAATAGAAACTCTCGCTCAACGCAAGAATGCAGCCTCCGAGTAACACGGGTGTCGGGAAGTCCCCGGTGTCCGGAAGCGCCGCGCACTGTGTGATCTAATTACGGAATTATGTTAATTAGATCAGTGGAGACACCCTGGTGGCTGCCATTCAATTACCTGTGCGTTTTTTTTTTTTTTTTTTTTTTTGGTGGCTGCGTTTGACGGATATTTCATTTCGTCACTGGGTTCGCGCGGTGGGCCCGTGTGCCTTTAGTGTTACCGGTGTCTCCTCCGCGCCTTCCGGCGTCTCCGTGCAAGATGTCACCTGGTTGGAGGCGCCGTCGAGCGCTAATTAGACGATCGATTGTGTGGGATGCTTTTATTTCTTTTTACCGTTCACTTTTGATGCGTGGGTTAGTTTCCTTTTGCACTTGCATGCGGCAACAGACTTTATGGATCCAATTCGGATGACTTCACCGTAGCAGCTGCCTTCGCTATGTGGCGTTTGAAGTTGCGAACGCGTTCCCGAAATTGTATTGATGGAATTCATTGTCTGGTCATACTATATGAGGCTGCTCAGAAAAAAAAAAAAAAAAAAAAGGAGGATATTTCAGATTTTTCTTTCAAACAAACTGTAAAAGACAGAAACACTCTTCGCGCGTCACCGGACAGAGGAAGCTTCGAAGAGTAAAGCCCTCCCACTTATGCCTGCTACTCTTCAAGATCTGAAACATCAAAGTGTTGAACCTGTGAATTCAAGAACCATAGGAGACCGGCGTATTTGGGCGTGGGAAAAAATGTACTACCGTTTTGATGTTTGTCTTGAAACATATGGTGCTTGTGTCGAGCGCAACCACCCCAAGGACAATACAGTTTTCAACTTTGAACTTTCCTCTGTCCACTAAATTGCGAAATATTTTGAAATCTCTTTTACTGCTTGTGTGAACAAAAAAAAAAAAAAAAAAAGAAAAGAAAAAGAAGTGCATTTTTTTTTTTTTATATATAAACAGTTTTGTGTATACTTTGTACCACGACCTATGAAGTTCTACATCCTTCACTCTCAGAAGCATATATATATCCCGCGTAGTATAGTATTTAGCGATGTAATCGGAACGCAAATAATAATTGTAATTTCCTTTATCAGTTCACCCACTGATGATGTCGGTCGACGTCACGCTCCAATAGGGCAGTGTGATGGGTATTGCGGAGTGCCAATGCGCAGACTGTTTTCTTAGGTCTACTTACACTCTAAAAAATGTCTGTAAGTCTACTTTCACGCACAACATTCGGAGAGCCAATCACCGCAACCTACGGAGGCAGCTCAGCGAATGACGATGCGGAAACATATGTTTCGACCAAAAAACGCAGTCTGAGTTGTGACATTAAGCAATGCAAAACGTCACACTTGCATTGCTTAATGTCACAACTCAGACTGCGTTTCTTGGACTAAAGATATGTTTCTGCATCGTCATTCGCTGAGCTGCCTCCGTAAGTTGCAGTGATTGGCTCTCCGAGTAGTGTGCGTGAAAGTTATCGCACAGACTTTTTTTAGAGTATATTTTCAGCTTCGCCATTAGCCGAGCTCCCTCCATAGGCTGCAGAGATCGGCTCTCCCCAATGCGTTGCGGGAAAGTAGGATGCTCCAATTTCTTTTTTTAGAGTGGGATTACTGACAAATAAAGAAACTCAAAGGTGATAAGTTCCGAGTAACACATTATCTCCCTCCGAAGCCAGCCAGATTGCAGGATAATCCGATTTCAACGCCTAATCAGGAAGCAAGAAGACAAAACACAATGCGCGGGGCAAATCGTCTGCTACTTGTGCCGGAGTTGCTATGACGCCAGAGCGACGCCGCGTTATGATTGGCCTTGACTGGAAGGATAGCGGGTAGACCCCAATGCTAGATGCCTCGAGGTCTACCCATTATTTTTTTTCCAATCAGCCTTGAAGAGCTCGGGGTTCTGACATTATTTGAACCCCTGAGCAAGAAGCAGACGAACTTTCGCTCCGCAAAAGCCGGGCGCTGCAATTCTTCAGCTGTGAGCGACTGTTTAGTTGGTGTTGGTTTGTGTGAGCGGTGTCGCCGGAGGGAACGGGGAAGGTGATCCGTCGATCGCTCACCTGGTGCTGCCGGCTCGGTCGATCTTCGTGGCTCCCTTGGACCACGTGACCGTGAGAGGTTGGTCCCCCTGGGCGTCGCAGACGAGTCGAGCGTTCTCGCCGCGCCTCGCCGTCACCACGCTGTGCTTCTCGGCGAACTTGGCGGGCACTGCAACGCGCATGCGCATGTTCAAGATTAGGCGCGAAGAGTTGACCTTGAAATCGTTTTTTTTTTTTTTGTTTTTTTCAATATCGAGGGGAAGAAAAAAAAGGGGGGGGGGGGAGGGTTTGGGAAATCGTGCGCTTGCGGATTCAGAGTCTTACGAATTGCGTATGCCTGTAAAGGAAACAAGAGGGTGGTGAAGAAGCGTATAAGTCAGCTTGAAATAGACACTGGGCGGAGGCTATGATCTGGGAGAGAAATCCACGTGTGGAATGTCGTGGGATGCGCACAATCTGCGCACGTTTCCAGTTGCGCGTCGTAAATTGCATATTGCGCGTCGTAAATTGCAGACTCTGGCAATGTGCACTCAGTGCCAGAGTCCGCGAGGAGTCTTTGACGCGTTATTATATTTCCCTGTTGTCTGTCAACGTGGACTAAATCATGGCCTGCGTAAAATGCAGCTCAATGAAAGAGATCCCGGTAAAACACGCATCAACTGATTTATTTTATTTTATTTCCCTTGTTCAGGATTGCATTTTTGTTTTTCCGACATAAAACGAAAATGAAAAAAAACAACAAAAAAAACGGGGAAAAGTAGGCAAATCTTAAACTCGTCAGACCGTTTCATATGTGTAGCGTGCTAACGACATAGTCAGAAAAATAATTTTATCGTCCGATAGTGATGTATGCCAACAGGTAACACCTATTCTGTTGCAAACGAATGAAAACAACAGCAACAAGAAGAGAAACTCCTCTCGAAGTGTGGCGCTAGGTGTCCGCGGACATAATCAAGTCCTAATTGTTATGACCATGCCGTCGAGATCTTTAGGGTTGAACAAATATATACCAAAGCGGCGGATACACACAGACACGCACATGCGCGCGCGCACGCACACACACACTCACACACACATACACACAAGAAAACATCCGTATTACTATTACGTAGTATAACTCCACAAGGTGCGGCTCCAGGAGTCAGCGTGTAAAACTTTTTAGTCGCGTTTTTTTTTTTAATTTCGGGTGATGTTGGATGTAATTACGATCTCTAAATATACATTCGAACGCAAGTAAAAAGGGCACTGGACACCATAGAATCACTTACTTTTATTGACTGAAAGTGACTTAATGAACCGTGTGAATAGAAACACTTTTTATTGAACAAAAGTGACTGAATAAACCGGGTACATAGAAGCAATTTTGCTCTTTTCGTGACAATGCTAATGACGTTAAAGAGAAAAAAAAAAATAGCGGCGCTTCATGAAATTTGCAGCGCTGAGGTATTCATTCCACCCAATGCTCTCCGAATGGTAGAGGCGAAAAGCACCGGATCAGATTGCTTATACAAGGGGTCTCAAACACGCGACCTACGGAACGCATGCGGCCCGCGACTCGTTGGGACGTTACCCCCGGGCATCAAGTGGCTGCGAACACCCTTTCCCGTGCCTCGAGAGCTATATGCCTCATAAATAATGATCTCCTGTTGTCAGTTTATTTACACTTAAAACAGAGCCGCACTTATAATGTACGTTCACTTATTCTTCTCTATTACCTTTTCATTTGAACTGAGTATTGTTTAGCCCTAATGTTTGTTTCTGGGCTCTTTCTCTCGTTGATCACTCGTACGACAATCCAACTACTATATGTGCTACAAGCGCGAGCTTTCTACGACGCACTTCGGCTGCACGAACTCTTGCTCAGTAGGAGCAACTTCGAAAGATAAAGCTTCAGCTTGGGTTTTTAGGAGTCGAAGAATACAATTTTAACACAAAATCTGCCTTATAAGGCTGCTATAAACATTTTTAAACAAGCAGAAGCCGTCATACAAAGTTTGCTTTTTATTTTGTTCAAGAAATGTGGAACTTGATGAATTCCCGAGAAGAATTGAGTGATACGTACAACAAAGACAGTATGCTTTCTTTTGTTCTATTGAAAAATGCAAGCAAGTTAGCGTCGTGGTGTAATCTTAAATCTTGTTATCATATTAGGGACGTAGTAACATTAGAAAATCAAAGCAAGGATGCAGGTTTACGGAAAGGAGAAATCGCGAGGTCCCTTCTCTAGAAAATATCAAATGAGCCACTAAGAGACTGGGCTACTTTGCAAGGTGAAGTTCACCGCTGTTTATTTATTATTTTTTTTTTGCCCTTCCCCCTCCCTGCTTTGGCCCTCAACATTTCGGGGTGGCTATCTGGCCCCCACCCCGAATGAGTTTGAGACCCCTAGCTTATAGGAAGCAGTTGTCGGTGTTTCACTCACCGTTGACGACCACGCCGATGACTTTCGTCAGCGGCTTTCCGATACCGTTGTCCACGTAACAGGCGTACCTTCCTTCGTGCTTCTTGGTGACTCGCAGAAAGGTGACCGTCCCATTGACGGACTTTAGGGGAGCGGCTGTTTTTCCGACGTCGCCGCATACGTCACTGGGCTTCCCTGCGAAACGCGCACCGCAGAAGTGAACAGCGGGAAGGTTACCTCGCGATACACACGGCGAAAGCAATCGATCGCTATTGCCACCGACAATTTAAGAAACGCAGGGCGTTTCTTAAATTACTACACATGCGACACTGTAGTGTGTGGGGTGTGTGCCCCACACACTACAATTACTCACCAAACACTCCACTCACTGTGGTGTGTGGTGAGTGGGACCGCGCGAAATCGAATAATGTTATTTTATAACAGACGAGAAAAAACACACGCACACACACACAAACACACACGCACACTGACACGCGCGCAAACACACAATTCCAGATAGGACGGTATGATATAACGAACACCGTCGCATCGTTTACGTAATCCTTTAATTGATCTCGTATACTGCATAAACGTATTCATTGGCGCACGAAAACCGCGCGACATCTCAATCCCTACAGACGAAGCACTTCTTTTAATGCTAACCATGCTCTTTTCAACGTTACTTGATATATTTTTCTTACTTTTTCATATTTTCCTTATAACAAGAGAGGCACGAGAGTGACGGAAAGGGAGATTCCCTAGGCATGATGTCATTCTTAAAACCTCGTGATTGCGTAGCGAATAGCAGACTTGCCACGTTCTTACTAAAGACACACTTATCGTCTGTTTTTTTCGTTTTTTTTTTTTTGTTTTTTTTTTTTACCGTTGAGTTGGCGTTTTTGCTTTTGGCAACCTGAGTCACAACGGCAGTGTCGTCGCCCGCATACAGACACTTCTTTCTGGAGAGCTGCGCTCACTTCTGCCAGAGCAATAATAAAATCTCGACAGCGAAGCGAAGAACGTTAAGTGGTCTTCGTTCCGCGGCCATTTGCCTTAAACAAAGATTACCGCTTTCTTTTTCCTCGAGTCATCTTAATTGTGCCCGTATATATTTCCTTCTTTTTTTCCAGCGCCGTCTCGTCGTCAGGGTCAAGGATGACCAGGTGCGTCTGCGGCGGAGCGGGACCGCTTCGACTTCCGGTAGGTTCGAGAGCGTCGCCCGATGCGCGCGTGAGACTTTCCACTCGGCCGTTCCGCCCTTCCCATTCGGAAGGGGGGGCCAGTCTTCGTCTCGCTTCTTCGGAGACTCGCCCTGATGCTGTTACGCGTCGATCGCCCGCTTCCTTTTTCCCACAGGGTCGTTCGTGGACGGCCGTCGCGTGCCTCGTCGCCAAATCGAGGGGTCACTCTCGCTGCCTGCGCGTCTTTGGCGTTTCTTGTTGTTCTATATATTTTCTCGTGGATACGCTTTCGCGGTAGTTCGAGTTGTATTTATTACGGCGCGCTCGGACTTCGTGAGTTGGAATTTAGGTGTGAGGACACTGTTTCAGTGACACATATGCAATGCTAGAAATTTCGCCGTTTAGACTCTAGAGTGATCACACGACATCGTTTGGTCCCAGATTATCGGACCGAATCGCTCAAGATATGAGCTTAATTTCGGGGTGATTAAGAGACGGCCGTAGACGTAACTTCAAAGCGGGGGGCATTCAATCAGTCGATCGATCATTGATCAGCGTCTGTTTACTGAACGTAATTTACGCAGCAAAATAAACGAGCATGCTTGTAGAGCACGTCTACGAGCATACCCATAAGAAGCGTGCGGAGGAAGCGTATTGTCGAGTTTGCTTTACTCGTTTTATCTTCCTCCCTCTCCGGATTTTGATGTTTATATCGAATTTCTTTTGTCTCGTAGGAGTGCGTCGGGATTCACGCTAATTCTTGTCATAAAGTTTGCTGTCTATCGGCTATGTTTTTCGTCTCGTGTAAATGATTAATTAGTCCATCTGGTCTTGACTAATTCAGCTCCGGTTCGCAGCGTTACTATTAATGCTGACTAATGGCGTGCTCTGTGGATAAGCTAAGGAATAATTAATGTAGATGGCATACACGCTTACCTCCAGAAACGCACTGCGTCCACGTGACTGTCGGTTTTGGCCTGCCTGCTGCGGAACAGGGAATTCGTACCTCGACGTCTTCCACCGTCGAGATGTCCCTAGGTTCCTCAACCCACTGAGGCGGTTCTGAAAAAATAAATAAATAAATAAATATATATATATATATATATATATATATATTCCCGACGAAGCCGAGCCTCTCGGCGAAACTGTCGAAATACATGCAATAAACTCCTAGCATAGCAACTCCGCAAGTACGGATCTCTGACTTATATATATATATATATATATATATATATATATATAAAGAAAACATTTGAGTGTTTTGCTTGGTATATGACAGTTCCAACACACACAATTGTTTGTGCTATGTGTGTCTTCTACTACACCCGATTCCATGGGCGAGAATGAACGATAATCTATGAAGTTTTGATTTTCCCATTTTGTTTACTTACAGACACGCTAAGACTCCCAATATAAATCTATTGTTGAATCTGTACCATGATATCGTGCCAGTCAGGTGAAGTTTGGGTGGTGGGCGACTAATATATTGCCGGTCTAGGCGATACATTAGACGCCAGGCGCGAATGGCCATAACCGTATAGGGAATGTAAAGTGTTCATTGGCTTGCGGTGCTTTCTAAAGTTACGCGTTGAAAGAATCATAACTAACTCGATCGCATGACATGACTTTATGAATGAATAATGGTCAGCTTGTTGAGAAACCGGAGATACAGCAAATACGAAGGAATCTTTGGTCCTGTCGTATCGGTTTTGGACGTAACGACAAAAAAAGAAAATAAGATTTTTTTTCTTTGCGCGTGCTAAGTTGGTTTGATGCTGTTTAGCAAAATGTAGCCCTCGCCTTCCCCGCTTGGCAGCGGTTGGGACACTATTGCACGCCATAAAAAAAAAAAAAAAAAGAAAAGACGCGTTTCTCTTACGTTTCACTTCCAACGTCGAGGTGTAGCGATCGGTGCCAGCGCTGTTGCTCACGACACAGGTGTAGTTCCCGGCGCTTTGGGCCGTCACGGGATCCATCGTCAGCGTCGAGTAATCCTCGAGCGAAGTGACTCCGTTCCTGATGACGCGACCGTCCTTCATCCAGGAAAACGTGAGCGGTCGGGAACCCTTCTGCACGCTGCAGAAGATCTTGGTAGCTAACCCGGTGACGACATCGGTGGGCAGGGCGAAGGGTTGGATGACGGGGGCATCTGAAACGCAACAAACAGTCACTGGAGTATAACTTTCGGTCTCTGCTTAACTTGAGTAGTTTTTTTTTTTTTTTTGTGTGTGTGTTTAAAACCACTGAGGGAATTTACTTGTTCGCTTATTAATTACACTAACACTTCTCAGCAAGCGAGTTACGAATTTGGTTGTTGTCTGAACATCTGCGCCTATGCAAGAACACGCAGTTGGTCGCAAGGGTAATCTGTGGAAAGACGATTCTGACGTCATGTAGTGATCTTTATAAAAACAAACACGGAAAATTAAAAAAGAAAAGAGCCTTATCGAGGCAAGGGAAGGCAGCTCGCTACTCAGTAATTTTTCTGTGCCTCACAATTTTATCTATCGTGCTCTTCAAGCAGTTTGCACCCTGAAACGTTGTTTTAATTTCTCACCTTCGTAAAGTAACTATATGATAGCAGACTTAACGGAGTACACAGCAAGGACAACGAAGCCGACTTACCCAGAAGTGATGCAGCGGTGGTCGAAAGAACAAGCGTCAAAACACCGCGCAGGGTCGCCGGCATTTTCATGACGACCAGCTGCCACCACCGTAGCCTTGTACGGAGGTCTTCACTGCACAACAGTCCTCCCTCGCGCAAGGGACTGGACTTGTTTCAGCGTCGCGAAAACACGCCGGGCCGCTAATCCGCGCTGCGTAAGCGGGCGAGTTGGAACATGAAGGCGGACATGTCTTCTTCCACACCGTGTCTACGTGTGGTTTATGCACCGCACGGACTCATGGCGCCGCGTGGTGGATGTCGGTGCGACTGCGAATGAAGGGTGGCCCCTTTTTGGCATCCCAGGACTGTCCCAGTTTGCGTTTTAAATTTGGCAGCGTGCTGTGCGATGGGGGGCAGCAGGAGACAGTCGCTCGTTTGTTGAAGTCATTCGGTGGTGTCTGCAAGAGAGGTCATCTTACCTCTGACGGACACAGTAATCGTTTTGGAAAGCGTTCCGCCGATGCCGTTGTTCGCTTCGCATCTGTACGTTCCTCTGTGCACTTCTGTGAGAGGGAAGAGCGAGACTACTGACTCCTTCCACGTTTCCACCGGAGACTCATCTGCAAAATAATTGCGTTACATGTTGAGACTGTGAGTTTGGTAGCAGACATGGTCTTTGTGGCACCTTAAGAACGATAGGACCTTTTTACTGAAGAAGCCTTATGCGAGAACTAGACATTTACGAGAAGAATGGCTTCTTGACAATTATGAATATATGTTGTCAGTGTTTCTGCTTATATAATAGCAATATGTAAAGTGGCGGGACACAGCAAAGCTACTTTAAGAACCGGGTGAGTAGGCTTCAGAGTTTTGTACATGATTCCACAATTATGACTGTTTGTCTGTTTGTGACTAAATCCTAATATTTCTTTTCGGGTGATACTGACACCTCATAGGCTTTCCAACCATAGTGGAATGAATCGGGATAACTACGCTGTGTCGTTCTTACGCTAGTAGAGATTTTGAAAATTTGCAACAAATGCCTTGCTCATAGCAACACTCCTAGTGAAATATTTAGAAGTTACAGACTTAACAAAGGCAAGCTCCCAGGCTTGCTGTCGTGATGTCTTCTGTCATCGCCGAAGCTCGGTCTCAACCATCACCGATATTGACTAAGGACACCAGCTCGCACGTGGCGTGACGCTTGCTGTTTTTTTTTTTCAGTCTAAAAAGAGATGGTAATTTATCTCGCTCGTATTTTACCTAAGAGCTTCTTCCAAACAACGGCTGGCTCTGGTGAACCGGATGCTGAACAAGTGAGGTTCAGCATCCCCCCTATGGTGCCAACCGTATCTTCCGGCGCCTTGGTCCAGACGGGGGGAGCTTTGGAGAACAAAAAATAAAATTAAACGTCAATTTATTTGGTCACTGTTGGACAACGCGAAGAATCAGAACTCAGGAAAAGTTCATAATCCTCCCCCCCCCCCCCACCCCTCCTCATAGCACCTATTATGAAACTGGCCTGCGACGTGGTACTACTATCACTACTGTGCTAATCACCAAAGGCGCTTCTGTACTATCATAATGCATGTACGTGCTTTCCAGTTATGCCCGCAGACGAACAACAGGACCGTACGTTTGTTATTATACAAGAAAAGTACAAGAGCACGTGTTTCCTCGTGTTCATCGTGCGAAAGGACAGAAGAGGTACATTTGTACAAGTTCATGTCTGAAATGCACTGATGGGCAATCACGTTCCCACCTTGCTTTGTAAGAACGGTGACCACACTCGCATTTACAAACATTCTGTTGGGTTTTTACACCTGCGTGAAATAACTCATTTGAAGATTGCAGCCCTTGGAGGGAACGCAGAAATACTGCAGAAATACGATCTTGTGCGCTGTCCATTGTGCCTGACCCTCATTCGAGCTTAACGCTTCCTTTATGAAGGAGGTTCCCTTACGCCGCTACGTCAGGTGAGCGAATGTTTAAATTATAGTGCTTTCGGCGCTGCGCAAAGTAATATGAACGCGACCGCCGCCAATGGACTTAATCCGACTTGAGAGCTTGGGGTGCTGTATGTTATGTAACAGTAAGAAGTGCTTTTCTTAGATTCCCGTGAAATTATTTACGCGTTAGTATTCTGTAGGAGCGGTCTATTGCTGACTGCGAGCCTTCCTTTGATTTTATAAATTGGCTTAATTATTTTTATTGTCGGAATTCCCTCTATCTAGAGTCGCAAACTTGTAAATTCTATCAGCAATGAACAGATAAGCGCATTCACCTACGTCTTCCTAATTGGTCTTCACAGTTGTACAGTAAGTTGAGTCAGGAACGCTTCTACTGCCATCAACTAGCGCGATAGAAGACACGAATATGTCATTATAAAGTAAACAATTCCAGCTATTTCTACGTTCGTTTGCTCTTCATCTTAGAATTAGACGCAGCTTGTGGTCGGCTACTGGCTACCTTAGTTCGTTGAGTACGTTGTTACTACACCCCGTGAATTACGTTGCGCGCAGCGTAATGGAAGGCGCATGAACGAAAGCCGAACGCGCAAAATGCTTGGATTTCACGTGACCCTTGCCAAAGGAAGCAGGCTCTAAACCCGGGTGTACCCACGCCTATGTTTTTAACAATGTGGTACAGAACTACTAAAATGGAATATGACATACAAATTGAAGCCTTCAGACCTTTCATGGGCTCGCGCTCGGCCTGACACAACGACTGAACTAATATACATTAAAAGTTCCAGCGAACACCACTGTCGTCAATGGCAGGACGAGAAGGGTAGGGAGGTTCTTCTGTTGTCCCACCTCCGGCGTGAGCTTCCTATTTTCGATAAGACTTCGGCGTCTCACGAACTACGGGCGTGTAAGCGGAGCGAAAGCACGAAGGAGGGCCACGGGCGCGTGTTGAATGAAACGTAGGGACCTAAAGAAGACGCCGTTCCGCTCTCACTCTCTTAATGACTAAAATAAATTAAAATAAAAAAAAAAGAGACGAACCTGTTTGGTTTGCATTTTCAAGATAGAGTTTATACTTATAGTGGTTTGTGTACATCTTATACTTGTAGTGGTTTGTGTACATCTTGTCCCTTAATGAGTTCTTCAACATCAACCTGAAGGCATTCTAGCATTGTCAAAAGAAAGCGGCTACTTCTGACACTGTGCTGAATTTCGATGGTATTTTTACCTTCCACTTTGAGTTGAACGGTGTGAGAGTCGCTGCCGAAGTGGTTTCTCGCCCTGCAGGTGTAGTTCCCTTGCGCTCCGAGGGACGCGGATGTGATGGCCAGCACCGAGATCAGGTTCCCGTCGTAACTGACGTCCTTAGACAGACCGGTCACGTCACTGCCATCCTTGAGCCACTCGAACGTCACGGGAGGTGTTCCCGATGCCAGGTTGCAGGTGGCACTGATCTTCTCGCCGGCTTTCACGCGACTCGGAAGCTGGAATGGCTGTATCTTGGGGGCTTCTGAAAGAGACGAATTAAGAACATTTTTGGTACTACGTACGTAACTTCCATTTCTATAAAACTATTTCGCCTAGAGTACCCTTATCTTTCTATTCACTTGTTTCATTGGTAGTGGTGGAGATCATCATTCGATTGCTTCGCGCCGGTTCCCTTTTGAAAAGGGAACCGGCGCGAAGCAATCGAATTTTTAGATCTTAAGTTTTTTTGAATATTCGTGACAAATTCGACTGTCTCCATCATTCCATTATATCAACCCAAGAGTGTGCGAGTGTCGGCAGCACTTCGTTAAAAATCAAACAAGAACATGTCCCTCGTATGGCGATCTCTTGTTCGTACATCGCTTGTTCGTTCATGAATAGGTATGTGTTCATGCTTTGAAAGCGTTGCTTTTACATCTGACTTCTGAGGCACCGCAGGAAAGACCATATAACATAAAATAAGTTGGAGTGGTTTGTTGTTACGGTGAAGCCAAACGTGTGAATGCTCACCTTGGTTTCGTGCGGACGCCGCCGATATGAGGATGCTCCAGAGGCCTAGCAGGCGCGCGTACAGCATCGTTCACGGAGGCAACAATCGCGGATTCGGTCAGACTGGTGGTCGCCGTCACGGCCGGGGGACGCGATGAATTTGCGAGGCCGCGTTTCCACGCGTCTCTGAGCAGAAGCGTGAAGCTCTCTCACTTGGGAAACCAAATACTCAATGGGAACGGAGGAAAGGGTAGCTGCATCTTGTGTCACACAAGCTTTCGGGTCGGAGCGGTTTTTTCTGACGTTACTCGAGAGCCATGGGAGCGCGTTTTTTTTTTTTTTTTTAACTTTGTCAGTTTGTGTGTATCAAGCACACGGCTCTAACGGGACCGTGGCGCCACGTTGTGGGTTTGGCGTGAGTTTTGGTAACGAAAAACCGAAGTCTGTACCTTGTTTGCAGCAGTGTAGTTTATAAATGAGCTGAATCTGGCCCTGCCGTTTTGTTCTTGGGCAAATTTAAAGTGAATATACGTTGTGGGTTAGTAAGGAACTATGTAGCATCATGAAGAGGTCCTCCTGTAAGCAACCGAAACCTTGTGCGTGTATTGGTCGTATGTTTTCAACGCCGAAAGAGTGGTGGTAAGTGTCTTCGGAGGTCGACTAAAACACTTTTTCAAGCAAACAACTGCCGGCTTACTTTTGACGATTAGGGAAATTGTTTTGGACAGTGGGTTGCCGATCCCGTTGGACGCCTGACAGGAATATTGACCCGTATCTTCGGGCGCCGACTTTGAAATGATGAATGTCCCGTTTTCCAGAACTCGCGAGCTGCCTTCCATTCCTTCCATGTTAGCACCTGTTTGGGGAAAAATTGTATGAACATCATTCATGTTTAACGCTCTGAAACACCCCGGCAACTCGCTGTGAATTGAAAAATAATGATGCTTAACAAGTAATTGACACAATTAAGGATTACCCGATCTTGACCACTTGATGCTGGGTGTGGGATGCCCAGCAGCTTTGCAGTGGAGCATCGCAGCTTCGCCAGATGTAAGTGCGACGTCCGAGGGTTCATGTAACCATTTCGGTGGTGCTGAAAGCACGAAAACGAACCAACCATATTTTGTATAAAGTTGACCTTTCATCATATTTAGTAACACGTGAACGGAATGCATCGTTGAGAGGTACGACTCACCATGAACTTCCAGCATCGATGTGTAGCGATCGTATCCGTACTTGTTCTTGGCGACACAGGTGTAATTCCCGGAGTCTTCCACTTGAACGGGCTCTATCGCGAGAACCACGAAGGTCTCATCCCTCTTGATCTTTACGGTGCTGCTCGCTCTCACTTCGTGCCCGTCTTTAAGCCACTGGAGCTGTACCGGTTTCGAACCCTCAGAGACCGTGCATGTAACCAGTGCGCTCTGTCCCTCAGACAGCGTCTTGAGGAAGTTGAAAGGAAGCACCTTTGGGATTTCAGCTGCAGGAGAAAGACGTGCTTTGAGTTAATTCGCCTACGACTTCCTGATGAAGCTGCTTGTGAAGGGCTGAAATATAGAAACCAGGAGGCTTACCTGCTAGAGACAGTTCCAACAATGTCGCTAAGAGGACGAAGTAGGCCGCAGGTACATTTCTGCTTAACGTGGCCGACAGTCCGTTATTATAACTCATGTTCTGCGGTTCCAATGTACATATCTGTCAAATTACACCCGGTAGTTTTCCCGAACAGGCTTTTACCGCACGTAGATAACTTCGAATGGCGTCTGATGGTTGGCTTCACGATTGGCGATTCGGGTTAGTGTTCGACTACGGGAAAGCTGCGCCACATGTCGGCAAACAGGAAGACTAGACCCTTCGTCAGAAGCGAAAATCGCGAGACAAATTGTGATTTTGTGCGTTAGCTGTTGGTTGCGGCATTCAGAGGTCGCCACTGCCCTGGCGTCGCCGACAGGCCAGCATATCAAGCATCGGGGTTCTGAAGATAACCCTTCTGGTCGTTTTCGTACGCACTGCTCAGGTTCGTGGTACTTTGTTTGGCACGTAGGTCGGAGCTGTGTAAACTGTGCCTACCGCGAATGTTGACTCGAACGGTCTTGTGCAATGTCGGCCCGACGCCGTTCTCGGCCTTGCACGTGTATGAGCCCGCGTCTACATCCTGGATGTTTTGAATGAGGAGAACGTCCTTGTGCATTAGTAGTCTAGTTGAGGTTCCGTCTGTAATGCAAAGAACATCAGGGTGAATATTCTTAATCGATGTACACACTAATTAGTACAGGCGCCATATGTAACTCATCAACACCACTGAAGAGACCGGCGCTCTATCTGGGGATGCGCGGTGTTTGATTTCGGGAAGTATGCAACAACCGTATGTCCTCAATGCCTCCAGTGATTTTGGCGCTCTTGTTGGGTGCAAATGTTTTGACGCCTTCGTTTCCACGACTGATGCAAAAACTTGCCTTTTGACTTGGTCCAGGTTATCTGGGGAATGGGAGAGCCGGTAGCTCTGCACTCCACTGTAACGTTCGTGCCGACTATGGCGGATACGTCTTGAGGCTCGTGGCTCCACGTTGGGGGCGCTATGAAAATAGCAGTGATTTGAAATTGGTTGGTTTCACTTCATGATATCATTGGAGGGTTTTTGTTCGCGACGACTACAAACACACCTTCGACTTTAAGCTCCGCTGTGTACGCATCCGTCCCCATGGCGTTGGATGCCCTACAGGTGTAGTTTCCATGACTGGACACGTCTGCTGTTTCGATGATGAGCAGAGATACCAGCCTGTTGTTCTGTATGGACAGTCCTGTTTTGTCCCGCAACTGAACACCATCTTTGATCCACGTAAACGTTAGGGGAGCCGCAGCGGTCACCACGATGCAGCTTCCCACAGCGCGCCCTCCAATCCGAACTTTGTCGTTGAAGGTAAACGGCTGGATTTTGGGCGCCTCTGAAAAGTCGTTCAACTATAGATTAACATTTACAAGGAATATCCATCGATTCCAGTCCGTGTCTCCTGTTTCTACAAAAAAAAAAAAAAACTCCAGCGCGACTAACTTCAGTTGTAGGACTGCATACTTGTAAACTTTGAAATCATTCTAACAGACATATCGAGCATGCAGATGCACACGCCGTTCTGAATACAATATAAAAACAATTGTGCGTCACTCACCGAGGCTCGCGACGAGGTTTAGGATGACCGAGAGCCCGGCGAGCCCGAGAAGGGAAATCAGCTCGGCTGCTCGCATCGTTTCGGAACACAGCGTAGCCGTCGTATCCTTTCCCAGTCACAAGTGTCGGGGAATACGGTTCACCGCAGTTATTCGGGGCGTTCCGGGTGATTACAGAGGCGGCGTATTTCCGTCGATGTTTCATAGGACGATACGTTCGCGCTTTGCTGTAGCGCGCTTGACGGCTATGGCGAACTGCAGCGTCCCGTTCGCTCTGTGGCGACAGTTCCCGTGAACCTATTGACGGACGGACAACTAGCGCCTCGTTCCGTCTACGTGGAGAACTAGGCCAGCCGCCATGATTACGGGTTGGAAGTTTGAAATTGGGCAGGACGCGGTTCCGATCCACAAACCGGGTTCAGCTAAACCATCACGTGACAAGTTAAGAATTATGTCTAACGGTGGATGGGTTGTTCAAATAAATTATCTGGTTTAATCATACGGTAGCAGTAGTGGGTTAGCTTACAGTAATTTAGAGACTGTCAGGTGACTTCCGTGTGTTTCTTAGCTGCCTCATGAAGAAAGGAACAGGTGTCTGCTATAAAGGCTGGGGCCTAGACCGAGAAATAAAGCGTAGACGTCTTACGTTTCACTTTTATGAACAATGCGGTCTTCAGGGCTGCTCCCACACCGTTGTCAGCTTCGCAGAAGTACCTGCCTTCCGTCTCTTTTGTGCTTTCAGTCACCGAAAGTGTCGCTGATCCGTCTTGAGATGCGACGAGCGTTCGCTCATTCTTCGGCTCTGAGAAGAACAATAACAATAAAGGGTTGAGATTAGCTCTGCACAAGCAAAAAACAGCTTTTTGCAAACTGGACACACAAAAATAATAATTGTTTATTATGCTGTCGTAATTAGAGACCACGACACCTAAAGCCGGACACATGACCATATCTTCTTTTTTTCTTTTTTAACTTGTGTTGCATGAATTGGGCCATGAACTACGTTCTAACCGACTCGTTGACTGGATGCCCGAGTGATAATTGAGAGACTATATAACAGCTCATCCAGTGGTATGACACGAACCTCATACCAAAACTATTTTACGTAGTTTTGAACCGCACTAGCTGTCTTGCAGTTAATGTTCTACGACTGCGTTTACCGGGTAGGAAAATAGATAATCGAATCAGGCGGCGGGAGTGAAAAAAATGGGTATAGAGAAGGGGAGGACCGAGTGCTTATGTGACTGGTCACCATGGAAGCATACTCTATTATTACTATATGGTCGATAACCTAAAAATGACAGGGCATCGCCCGGTTTCTATACCATCTTTCATTACTAAACAGCCTTTCAGGTCACAGCGCAATAAGAACTACGAGTAACCAATTACAGCGGGAAGATCTTGGGAATACATATGATTCATTTGCATTTTTTTGAGCTGTCAAGGCTGGTTCGGACATTTCCGTGTGAGTGTTAGTGAAACGTAAGGATTCGTAACGCAGTCGGTCAGGCTCCAACGCAAATGTCTGAAGCAGACTGCAATATTTAATGAAGCGAATGCATTTTGAGCTTCCGAGTGGCGCTGTTCTCACCTTCTTTCTTCCACGTGACTTTGGGAAGTGGATACCCTGTTGCGGAGCATTCCACCAGCAGAGCTTGCCCTGCGCTCACTGATAGATCTCTGGGCTCTGTCTTCCACTGTGGAGGCGCTGCAATGAGTGCCAGGCTGCTTAGAGAACGCGGGTTGTTGCAAGCTGGATATGTGAGTTGCATAGAATCGACATTTAAACACCGGAGCGTGGGAATGAAGGGGGCAACCAGAAACGTGAAGGTCTAAATCTGCCTGACACCTGACGCGGGCAACTGTCATCTTGGGCTGTTCAAGTATCCGCATGTATTCCCATAATATGAAGGTGTGGTTGGTTGGAAGCCTCGGCATATTTCACTTCCTTCCTAATGTCCTCGAACTTGTTTCCTATGACTTAGCTAAGGAGTATAGCACAAACAACATAGTAGATCGGTATCCGTGCGAGACTCTGTTTGTGTCATTAATGTTATGGCGATTACTACGTTGAAATACAATACGGACGCACAACATAGTCAATATCTTGTTCGCCAAATGTCGCATTCTGAGAAAGTAGGTCGAAACTCCTAGAGTTTTATTCAAATGAAATATTTCGTGAGAAATAAATTCATGAATTTATTTAGTGAATGTCAAAGTTGGATACACTAGAAAGTGTAACATTAAAGAACGTGCCATTTGCATAACATCTCACGTTCTATCTTTTAAGGGAGTGGGTATTTTCTATAGCGGCACGTGGAATGACGAAAACTAGTAAAAATAACACCGATTGATTATGAGTAGATCTCAAGAGTAGCAACTTATGTTTGGTTCTAAATATTATAGTTTTTGGATCAACTCACCTTCGACGACCAGAGCCGCTGAGTTGGCGTCACTTCCATAGTCGTTGTCGGCAATGCAGGTGTAATTTCCAGCACTGCTTAGAGTCACCGACTCGATGGTCAACACGGACACCCTCTTGTCGTTCTTGACGTTCACGTAGGGAAGTTTTCCATCAATGGCCACATTTTCTTTGAACCACTTGAACCGCACGACGGGAGAACCGGCCACCAACGCGCACAGGGCACTGGCACTCTCACCAACGCGGATCCGACTTTGCGGGAAATGAAGCGGTTGTAGTTTCGGCTTCTCTGCAAGGCAGTGGACAAGCATGATAAGTATAACCCCAGGATGCACCAACGCATAGCCAAAGAATGCGTTTGATATTTTAGACTTCGCTCATTTCTACGGTTGCGACTCAATAAAATATTCAGTGGTACTTACCGGCCTTGGTGAAGTTAAGAATCGCTAGGAGCAAGATGATCGTGAACGCGAATTGATGCACGCCGTGTGTGCCAAAAGAAAGTGACATCTCAGGTTGAGTGCGAGTCCGCTAAGATTGGACGTTGCTGTCGCGTTTCGCCCGTGGGAAAGTAGTTATGGCGTCTTGGTAGACGCCTAGTGGTTCTGTACCCACTTCCACATTTGTGTGGAAAGCTAGCGCCACACATTGATGATATGACGAACTAATCCGTCAATCTACGATACCCCGTGAACTTTAAAAGTTCGTATTCCGTCCCTTGCGTAGCTTATAACGTACATTTTACAGTCAGGCGGACAGTGTGAGATATCGTTGTCCCGATGCCATTGCTGGCCGTGCACTTGTAAGTGCCTTGGTCTTTCTTTTGGGCCGCGCTGACGTAGAGGGTCTCGTTGTCATGGTCCAACGTGACACTGACGTCTCCGTCTAGTTGAGCAAAAGAACAAGGCCACGTTGTCAGATCGTCTGCTAAATGTTTCGGATTTGAGTACGATCACTATTATGCTTATTAGAGGGAGGATTCTGTACTGTACCTGTTCTGAGCCATTGAATTCTTGGAGTTGGAAATCCTGAAGCCTTGCAGGTGAAATGTTCGTTGCTACCAGCAGTGATTGTTTTGTCCTGGGACTGTTCAGTCCACTTGGGTGGTGCTGTGCGGAACAAATAATTAACTTCGTTACGCAGTACTTGGGGGCATTGTAGTTCAGATATTGTACATTCTTTGGTGTATAGTCTCTCAGAACTTACAGTGAACCGCAAGTGCCGCCGTGAAGGACGCCGATCCGACGTTATTTTTCACGGAACACGTGTAATTTCCGGAGTGCTTGACAGCGAGGGAGCCGAAATTGAGATTAGAAAATTCGGCATTGCTCGCTATTTTCACGTTGTCGTCAGTTTCCAACGTTTTCCCATCTTTGAACCAGCTGAACGTCAGAGGCTTGTCTCCTGCAGTGACGATGCATATCGTCCCGGTTCTCTCTCCGGCGTTTAGGGTCGTTGGAAATGTGAACGGTTGGATTTTCGGTGCTGCAACCAGAATGCAGATTAGATGGAACACAACAGGGTTGTATCGGCATCGAGTATGCCCGGACAAAGATCTTTGGTTAGGAGGGCACGGGGACGGCAGGGTCGACGTGCACGCGAAAGCGGTTGAGCTTACCTTTAACAGCTGCGGCGCTATAGACGACGAGAAGCGCGTAGAAGGCCGCAACGAAATATAGCCTGCAGCATCGCATTTCTTCCGATCTTCAAGCTCACCAAATCGAACAGTTCACGCTTTATGGCAGCGTACAGTCGGGTCCACGCACAACACTCCCGCGTCGGCGTCTATGGCTTCACGGACAAGCAGAAATGGCGTTCCCGTGGAGCCTCGGTTAAAACGTTTCTGCTGATGACCGGACACATCGCGCCACTTCTCGGTGCTGGCACACACTACGCGAGTGGTGCGGTGAAAACGAAACCGAGCTTTCATGTTGGCACAGTGGCACACAATGATTGATTCGCGTGCTAGAAACAAATTATGATTCTTTCTTACGCTTTATCCGGAGGCTAACTGTCTTGGAAAGGTTCAGCCCAATGCCGTTTGAAACAAGGCAGGAATATCTTCCTTGATGAAGTTTTCCCACGGAGACTATTCCGAAGGTTGATGTTCCTTTGTGGTCCAGGTGTGGCTCGATGTCGGTAGCCTGGGATTTGGAATCTGACGCTGGAGAGTATAAAGACATGCATGAAGGGAAAGGCGCTTGTGATCAGCATGACTCAGCAGGAGTCGTTACCTGAGGCTTACCAAGTTTTCTCCAATTAACGCTTGGCTTCGGGAAACCATCGGCGGAGCAAGTCATAGTGACGTTGCTTCCTGCTGTGGCCGTAATGTCTTGAGGTTCATTAATCCAGCGGGGTGGAGCTGAAAGACAAATAACGTGTTTTATATATATGTTTGATGTGATTGGATAGGTTGGTACAGTCTCCAAACAATATAAAAGGCCCATTCCACGTGGCTGTACAGGATTCTCTTTGGCCAAGCCCTTATTGCTTGAGGTGAGGAAATACATGAACATTTGTTCTACTCTTTCTCTATAAATAAAGGGTATCTGGCCAACGTGAACTCAGCACCGCCGCACAAACTGCTTCGGCAAATGGTCCTTCATACGTGGAAGACTCAACATGGCTAACCAGTACTAAGGATAGTTAAAGTGAACAAAACGCAGGTTACCCTGAACGACGAGTGGCGCCGTGTAGGAAGTGTAGCCAGCTTTGTTGGACACAGAGCAGGTGTAGTTCCCAGCGCTGTCTAGAGTCAGCGGAGCGATGTTCAGCGTCGAAAACTCAGCGTTGTCTACAATGCGAATATTTGGAGATGCTGTGGATAACGCTGCACCATCTTTGAGCCAGGCGAACTGGATGGGTGTATCTCCGACAGATATGGTGCACGTTACACTGATTCGTTGCCCAACCTGGAGATTTTTGGGAAACTGGAAAGGCGGTATCGAGGGTGGGACTGGAATGAAAGACACCGAGCGTAAATCAAGAAAGCTGGAGTCGAGAATACGTCGTATATTTTGTCAGGCACCGAGTCAAGAGCGAATTGCGACTCACCTGCAGATTGCGCCGCCCTACAGGCTATGTTGTGCAGTGATACCGTCCAAAAAGTGATGAACCGGAGTTGATTTGTCATAACACACATAGTGGAAACAGGATTCGGTAAATCCTGCTTAAGAGTTCTTCATCTGACTCCGTCGCGTGGCCGCCGAAGTGAGGAATAGCGTCATGGCGCTGTTGATCCGCTAAGAGAACAAGGACTACTGTCTCCTATGCAGGACTCCTGGCGCCACATTACGGGCGCTCGCTGTACCATTCACACCGAAGGGGAATCGACGCGTGTAGCCAAAACGAAACCCGTAGGCGCGAATATTTTTGATGCTTTTGCATGATTCGAGAGCATTCGCTCGCAGCTATTTACATTTCACGAGGATTGTGATCGTCTTCCGGATTGCCTCTCCGATTCCGTTGGCGATTTCGCAAGTGTAGGACCCTTGGTCCTGCTTGGATGCCGAGGGTAGCTCGATCGTCTTTGTTCTGTAGTCGGAACTTCCTCGATCCCCTGAAAGAGTGACGAGGAATCTGTGTAGTCGTTTCAATTCTTTGAACGGATTCGGCCGGCATTCTTACGAAGGAAAAATCAGTGAACAAATTTTGGCGACATCTGCAGTCGGCGCCACTGCCTCCTCACCCTCTCCGCTCACACAAACGAAGTGCCGGTGAGAGGTATGTTTTCGTTAACATTCGAGTTTAGTGAATACTACTCTCGATATCACCGCAGGCAAATTTAGGGATTTCTACTTTAGGCACACCAAAGCCTTCAACCACAAACAATTGTTAAAAACAAACTCATCCGCCGCCTAAGCTGTTACACTGCTCGCGTTGACGTCACATCAGCTACTATTGTGGTGGCCTTGCTGCTGAGTGCGTACCTGCTGAAGCATACATTTCGCACCACCAAATTTAATCTCCTCTGCAAGGGAAATTAGAAAAACCCATCAGCATGGTGAGATGACGTCATGTGCAAGTCATCTATGGGCACCCTGCGTCCGCTAGGAGCCGCTACCTACCACCCAGCGAACAGCGCCGCGCGCGTCCACTCTTGAGTCAGCGTAGGGAGAGCGGTGCACCACTGCAGTCGAGCTGCCACTGCCGAGGTCGCTCCCCGATGAGTACGCGCGACGCCTCCGCGAAGGGCGCGCGTATCAGCACTGAGTTAGGTCTGCAGGGTGCCCATTGTTTGTACTGCCCGAGCCAACACCGCATACAAGACAAGGCCGTAGTGCTTATATTTCTGCGTCATCAGCGAAGGCCAACGCAGGACACTGATTGGAAACGAGTGCTGCGTCAGAACTCGGCTTCGAGTCAATTTTGTGCCGAAAGTTGACGCAATCGTCGTGTCCAATCGGTGATCAGCGTTGGTCTTCGCTGATGACGACATCTCTCAGCACAACAGCTTTGTTATCTAAGAGGTGTTGCCCGAGCATCCCCTCCGGCCCCCTTCCGCGGAGCTGACAACAGCGGGCCATACTGCTAAAGCTGACGTTTTTGTCACGTGATGCGCGCTCTGCGGAGAAGTCCGTCGGATTTCCCCCTCTCGTGAATACCGCTTTAACTGCCGCATAGGAGCGTACCTTCTTTCGTCCACCTGACAGAGGGCTGAGGATGGCCGTTGCCGTCGCACGTGATGCTGGCTTTCTGACCCGCGGTGACGGACATGTCACGGGGTTCTGTCTTCCACGTGGGAGGAGCTGCAGATTAATTGAGTTGGAGGACAAATATTATTCTTTTAATCTCGGCCGTTTTCATGAACGTTCTCATATACGTATAAGTACACAATTATATATGAAACTAACATCAGAGACCTTAGAATGAACAGATGTTGTCAGAGGCACTTCTTAATGAAGGAGGGGTGGGAATTGAGATTAAGAGCGGGCGAGAGAAGGCTACTATTATTCAGTTCATGACGGTCATGCAATTGAGTAAAATTTCCTATGCAAGCTCCTTCTAAATGGAAACACATCTCGTTAATTTCCCGGCCTCGGCACAAAACATATGCCACTCAGTTTATAAAGCTTTGGATTTCCATTATGGTAGTTTGGCATGGGATCTCACAATCTGACTTTCTGACTTTGTGAAACAACTGTAACGAACCCTTGTTACCTTTTATTTCCAGAGTGCTGGCGTAGGACACAGTTCCGCCGGCATTGCTGACGACGCAGGTGTAATTTCCGGCGTTTTCCAGGCTAAGTTTTTCAATGTTGAACACGGAAAATTCTGAAGAGCTCACGATTTTGACGTTGCCTTCTTGGCGCAGCGTCAAGCCGTCCTTCAGCCAAACAAACTTGAACGGCTTGTCCCCGGCTATCGTCGTGCACGTAACACTGCTTCGTTCGCCCACCGTGCCAGTCTTTGGGAACGCAAATGGTTGGATCTTGGGTGGAACTGCAATTAAGATTCTAGATGAGAGTTGCCACTGTTGATGGCGTGCACACAGAATGTGTTTGACACGACGGATTTCAGTACTCACCCAAGTTGGTGCAAACGCTGCGTAGCAAACTGACCAGACAGCCGGTCAGCACGATTAGTTTGAAGCATGGACTCATTGTTTCCCGATAGAGCTTGAGTCAGCGAGAATACAGCAGCTGTGACAACCACCTCCTCATCGCGTTCCCGTCGCCTATCGGCAATGGCCGACCTCGCATAAAGAGAGGCCTCTGTAAAAAGCTTCGTAACAACGGACTCCTAGCGCCGCTCTTCGGATAGAATCGAGACTAAGCTGGGGTTTGCTTTGAAAGCAAAACGGAAGTTTCAATAGCGGTGACGGCGGTTTGCTGGTTTTGACTAAAATCGCCGAATGTTCTTAAGTGCCTACTTTTGACGGCTAGATGAACAGTCTTCTCGAGGGCAGTTCCAATGCCGTTATCGATACGGCATCGGTAGGCTCCTTCGTCTGATTTTACGGCCGACGAGATGGTTATGGTGCTGCCGTCCAGCCTTGTGATTTCCTTGCCTGCAACCGCAAGTTGAAACAAAGATGAGACTTTGAAGATGAGCTTTGAAAACGAACTAAGATTTGTGGCTTAAATAAATCAGATGAAGTACGCACCTAGCTTCGTCCAGGTTGTGGATGGCGGAGGGAACCCTTCGCCTTTGCAAGGAATCGTCACTTGATGCCCAGCTGTCACGTAGGTGTCTTTTGGCTCGGTCAACCACACGGGTGGAGCTGCGTGTGCAAGTATAAAATGTAACGTTTTTTTTATGACTTTCTGGTATTATGATAGGATTTCGAATTGATTAAACGTGCGAGGAGGCTGTCATAATTTCTGAGACAAGCTGTTTGTGCCAGACACTCTCGAAAGTCTCATCTCTTCCTTCATAACGCTCCTCAATCCGACGGTTTAGGACTTCCCTAGCTGAACTGTTCCTAGATTCTGCATGTCTGGACAAACGCGGTTACGATATTCGTTGTTCCACGTAAAGGAAACACTATTATGAGACGTTTATTCAAAATACAGACAGTAAAGAGGAACAATAGGCGCTACAGAACACATGGCTTTCCTGAGTCAGGGTGTGTGTCTTCTTAATCATCATTATCACACGGTTGTATTATTCAGTTTTATATTTGTCATTTCGTGCAAAGTTTTGGTAAGCACGCTTGGGTTAGCAAGTTTGCAGCCTAATTACGTCTACTAACATTGCAGTTTGCAAAAGCATAGGTATACCTAACATATAAAGCATCACGTACCTTTGACCTGAAGGGTGTCTGTGTACGACACGGTTTCCGCTGAGCTGCTCACTGTGCATGTGTAATTTCCAGCGTCGGTGAGTTCGAGGTTCTCGATGCTCAAAGTAGAGAACTCCGGGCTGTTGGCGATGTTGACATCTCCGCCTTTTGTTAACGGCTTCCCACCCTTGAGCCAAGTGAAGCTGAGTGGCTTGGCGCCTGCCGTGGTCGTGCAGATGATGCTCACTCTTTCTCCGATTAGTAAACTCTTAGGGAACGCAAACGGCAGGATCTTCGTTTGAACTGAGGGCGAAAAAACAGCGTTAAGTACCTTCTCACTCGTGTAGCCACCATCATTGCCAAAAGAATCCTACGTACCTGAACGTCCCGTCGGTGCGTTGAAGAGTACGATACATACCACCGACATAATTACCGACATTATGAGCGTTTGAACAGCACCGTCGTTGAAGTCCTTAATGGAACGTCACTAGCAGGAAAAGTCCGAAGCCTCATCCGGCGAAACTACAGCGCACGGAATTACAATGGCTGATCGGGGCTATACATAAGCATCAACGAAATGGCTTCGGTACACTGGACTCCTAGCGCCACACTTTGAGCGTATCTCCGACTACGACCGCTTCTTGTGATGAAAACGAAACTACAGGCAGCGTGAAACTGTATGTTGTGCTGTACATTTTACTGCGACGCTGACGGTCTTGCTGAGGCTTCCTCCGATGCCGTTTGTGATGTCGCACCGGTAATGGCCTTCGTTCTCCTTGGTAGCTGTCGCAATTTTGAAGAGTCCGTCCGCAGTGTTCGTACTCGTCTCTTTACCTGGAAGGAAATTCTGGGAGTTAAGAATGTTATTTTCTTAGTTGCTGCTACGGGAAGGCAGTGTTTTTTTAGTGTTCTTACCCACTTTGGTCCATGATATTGTAGGTTTGGGAAAGCCGGTTCCAGTGCACTCTAGCATTACCGCGTCCCCGGCAGTGACGGTAACGTCCTTTGGCTCCGTCGTCCAGGACGGTGGAGCTGTGTGAGTTTTAATGCACTGCTCTTAGGTATATATACTGTATTTCCCATTCGTGACGCAAATCTAGCGAGCATTTCGTATTCACCGCGACAATTAATATCTTATTTTGTTTCACCTGAAGTGATTTGGACACGTCCTGCGTCGTGTCCAAAGCGCGTTCAAATATTAGTGAGTTTTAGTATTATGTATACAATCAATGTCAAGCACTGTGCGTTTGTGTTAGCACTGCGTGTTACACACTGAGCTTTCGCGGAGCCCCAAACTACGTCTTGAATTGGCGAGTGGCGACGGCGCGTATGCGCTGCGTGGAACACGGAACGCTAACGCAAACGCACTGCGCTTCCGTTTGTTTATATACGCAATACTAAAATTCTATATTTTCATCACTTTCATGATTCTGGCGATGATGCTCCAGGCTTCAGTGATTGATGTGTTTATTGCTTTGCGGTGTTTTTTTTTTTACACATCCCTTTATTCAAAATTTAAATGATCTTTTCATCTTGACGCAGTTGTGCGAGCTAATGTCAACGATATATTACCACTGATGTTTGATTGACAACCTTTGTTTGGGAAATGAAAGAGACAGCATACTATCCAATGCACGCCCTACGCACGTGTGGGCGAGCGTCAATGTGGCAGGGTCTTAACACGAATACTGTTTTTAATCGAGATAGCCTCTCGTTACAATCGAGGTTATATTTTGTGTTAGAACCAGCAACGTATACGTGATAATAAAATAGGCGGGACTTACCCTTGACATGAAGAGTATCCGAATAGGACACAGTGCCGCCAGCGTTGCTCACGACGCACGTATAGTTTCCAGCGTGCTCTATCTTCAAATTCTCAATGTGAAGAGTCGAGTAGTCGGAACTGTCGGCGATGTGGACTGAAGTTCCACCTCTCAAAGCCGAGTCATTTCTAAGCCACACGAACGTCAAGGGTTTGCTTCCGGAAGCCACCGCACAAGTGATGCTCATTCTTTCTCCCACGAGCAGGTTCTTTGGAATCACGAGAGGTAGAACTTTGGGAGGTACTGAAACATTACAAATGCATATATTATGTTCCTCTACGGATTTCATGCAAAAAACTGGACAGACAAGCATTCATTTTGCTGAAGCACGGAGGGGAAAACTTACTGGAGCTGGCAAACGCCTTGTTGGTTGTCGTGAACTGGAGCAGGGCAATAAGTGCGTATCCGAGCTGGAGTCTTGTACTCGATGTTTTCATGTTGGGGGACCACAAACCTTGCGCTTGCCGTACGTGGAGCCGATTTCTAGCGACAAAGCAATGGCCGGCGTTGTTGAAACGCAACGATCGCTGTAAGCTCTGGTGCAACTCCGCAAGGTAGGACTCCTAGCGCCGCACTTTGGGAATTTCGAGGACTAGGGGCTGTGGCGTATCTGGCGCGAACGAAAAACTATTTTGTAAACGTGCGAAAGCCGACAGGCTGGTGCCTACGACTTCGAAAAGGATCGTTTGCCGCACGCCCGAATCAGGAAGACCAACAAACAAAACACACTGACCCTCAAAAAGTTATTTTTGAGCGCCTTCCTGGTACAGTGGGCCAGTGGGTTTCTCGAAGCATCGGGAGACATTTGTTTGTATTACGGGCCGTAAATATATCCCGTCCGTCTTGCCTAAACATGTATGGTGCGTGGTCGGCAGCACGATCACGATTGTTTGTCTAGGGGCGATATAAAAGGTAGGCGTATCCAAACAGCGACCACCTGGACAGGATACAGTGAACCAGTGAAGAGTTCATGAGCGCTGACGTCATAGCGACTCGCCGGGAGGGTTTGCAAGGAAGTTCGACGTGCAAGTAAGTCCGGTACAACGCAAGATGACTTCTGTAGTAGATATTGCTCTGACTCCTCCTGTTAAGAAAAGATTTTCTCAAAAGTGACTCGGGACTCATTATGTTTGTAATCAGTCTCATAATATTTCCGACCACGAGCATCATTATCATTGTGACCACGACCATCATGTTTTCAAGGTGTAAAACAGATATGTGTACCGTTAAGTCTAGCGCGTCAGCCATCAACAGCAATACCTTGTTTTTTTTTTTTTTTGTTGTTTTTCTTCAATAGCTGTTAGGGGGAGGAAATGTGGAGTAATCTTTTTTATATTACAAAAGAGCACGTTGAGGAGTGTACAAGGGGTTCGCGACTGTTGAACTTTCGTAAGACCTCTTGTAACAGAATGAGGCACAGATCGAGGAACTATAACCCTTGCCTTGTATTCGTTCGTTGCCTTACTTTAAAGCAGCGCTCGCTCAAATATCATAAGCCCAGCAAGGCTGAATTCTTTTCTTACCGTAAGCACGAACTGAACCTACCCTTTGTACCACTGTAGCGTTGACCATCCGATGCGCTATTCGGACAGATCTGTTTTTCATAACCCGCATTTTCAGGCTCACGAAATACGTTCGAGAATGGCGACCATACAGCAACAAGAGGTAGGAAAAAAAAAAAGGAAGAAAGATAAGCTTGCGGAAGATCCTACATTTTACCGTGAGGAGAGCCTCCTCCTCCAGCATGTCTCCAAAGGTGTTGCCGGCTTGGCACCTGTAGCGTCCGGCGTCGTCCTTCGCTGTCCTCGCAATGAGCAGTGTGCCGTTGTCCCACTGGCGTACTCGGGCATTGTCCTCGCGGAGAGAGTGACCTTGGTGCAAAAGAATGTTACCAGTGACCTTATCAGACGCGTTTGAAGGTTTCCGACATCTTGGGGTCAGAAGGGGTCACAATGTCGGCTGGAAGGACCTAAAACCATACCCTGACAGATGCTCTTTCAGTGCGCGCTCTAAAGGGGTCTAGCGACTTTAAGGTAGAAACAGGATAGTTGCTAGTTTTAATTAGGTCGAAGAGGATTCACGTATTTACAATTCAGCTGACATGAATCTTTGTGCCGGTATTTCGGCCTGCTTGCGAACAAACGAATATGTTGGCCGTTAATCTTGGACCACGCAGAATACGCGTGGCATACGGCGCTTCCACGGCAATAAAATAATAGCAATTGTGAGTAAGGACAAATGGTGGCAGTGCGTTTGATGAATAAGGTTTAAGCAATGACATTATTAATTATTTATCAGTTCCTTTGTGCGCGTGCGGCAGCTATTCATTACGGTTGCAATTTAACGAACATGTTGTGTTCATAAAAAGGTAAAACAGCGCAAAAAAAAAAGAAAGAAAAAGACGGAGGACAAGAAGGCAAAGTGTACAAAGCGCTATTTGTGCACTTCGTCTTCTTGTCCTCCGTTTTTTTTATCGGCTCTGTTTTACTTTTCCGTTAATTATCTACCAGACACTGGCCCACTTTCTACCATATGTTGTGTTCGCGAACAATTTACGTCGTATTTGGTTTTCTGCTTGGTCTGCTCTAAATGCTTGAAACAGGACTGGTGCATTTCTTTTAATTTCTTTACATAATCGGTCGCTTTCACTATATTATCTCGTGGCATTAAGCCTTATATGTTTTCACAATTGTCTCTACTTATCGTTATGATTACATAAACAGAGAAGTTGCGAATCACGGGGTATTCAACGACACGCCACTTACCACGGCTACTCCATCTGATGGTTGGTAGTGGAAATCCGCTCGCGGAGCAGACCATCATAGCGCTGTCCCCGACGGTGACCACTTGATTTGTTGGTGCCTGAATCCATCGAGGTGGAGCTGCGATTGATAATTGTAATCGATACTGCAATTTGTATAGTTTCATTAATGCTTCTTTCATTGTAACCTATATGTTCACAGAACTTTGGAAGTGCTCGTTTAATATAGAATATACTTAAATATTTTAGTTCCCGCGATGACTCATTTTATACCTTATTTATGTTTGGAATACAATTATTCCTTGGCATCAAATTAAATAATTAAAACAATGCCGTAATGGTTGCAACGTCGGGTTACAGGTCATTATAAGCAAGTCGCATACAATAAATGCACTCTCCCCTCTCTCTTCGTTTTATATCGATTTCGGTTTGGGGCACCCAGGTTTCAGGCTTAGAAATGTACTAAACAAATCTTCGCCGTTTAGTTTGGTACAATATTGGTGAATAACAACCTACCGTGAACGACGAGCGAGCTTGACAGCGAGTCCGACCCAGCAGAGTTGCTCACTACGCACGTGTAGTTGCCGCTGTCTTGCAGAGACAGGGGACTGATGTTCAACGTCGAATATCCTTTTTCCTCGTTCCACTCGACGTTGTTGTGCTTGGATAGCGTAGATCCGTCTTTGAGCCAGGCGAACGTTAGCGGTCGGTCGCCTTCGAACGTGGAGCATATAACGGTGGCCCTCTGACCTGAGACCAGCTTGGATGCGAAGCTGAATGGCGTAATTTTGGGAGAAACTGCGTACGAATCAAGATGCATGCGTAAGTAGAGTCATGCTTCTAAAATTTGCAAGAATCGTAACAGAAGTTTACTCACCGATAGGCCTAGTCGCTGCTAACGCAGTTGTTGTGAGTAACGCCGTAGCTATAGTGAAAATTCGCTCCATGATTAGAGGAGGACTTTCGAATCGGTAGACCCGTGGGAAACAAAAAAGACAGGATAAATACGGGAACAGCATCGGCATAAACGCGTGCCGATCGTGCGACAACCGCGTCTGGAGCCGGTGATGGTTTGCCAGCGATTCCCCTTGCAACATTCAGTGTAAAAAAAATGGTGTTCGGGAAACAGCCAGCGTACACAGACACGTAGCGCCACACTTTATCTGGTTCACACACCACAACAAATCAAGGCATTCGCCAGATGTTTTAGCGTTTGCCTATTCTTTCGGACATTGTTATGGGTAATTCCCAAATATGTTTGACATTGAATTAGTAATATCTTCCGTAGGAGGTTGTCGTTCATGCTTGCCACATATACTCACATGAAAACTTATTTGATTTATATCGAAACTACTGCCGACCAGCTATTGAAGTCCAAGTCATGGTGTAGACAATTAGTTATTAGTGCAAAGACTATTGCTAAGTCCAAAGACTTGTCGTCTAGAACTCACATTTCACGGCGACTTGGACTGTCTTTTCTAGCCGTTGCCCAATTCCGTTGCTCGCCTTGCAGGTGTAAAGGTCTTCGTGCTCTTTTCTGGCCCAGGTGATGACTAGGGAGCCGTTCTCCGATGACGCCAACTCTTCTGATCTTCCTGTGAACGTCGAGCGAAAGGGGAAGATATGTATTACGTTAAAAACTTCCAGCCTTCGTTATAAATTCATGAGGCTCAAGAGAGTCGATTAATAAAAATTTAATTGGGGACGTCCGAGTACCTGGCTGCTTTCTGGTCCACAGTATCGTCGGTTCAGGATAACCGGATGCCTGACATGGAACGTGAACTCTTTCACCAGAAGTGACAACGACGTCACGTGGTTCTTGAACCCAGTGAGGCGAAGCTGTAAGTTACAAAAGTAAAAAAAAAAAGGTATGTCAGCCGATGTGTAATCGGGCGAAGTAATAATTGTTTTGTTTACTCAGGCCGGTGCTTCTCACCGTGAACTCTGAGGGTTGCCGAATGGGACGCTGAACCGAAGAGATTGCTGACGATGCAGGTGTAGTTTCCGGAGCTTTCCAGTGACAAAGACGGCAGCTTGAGCACCGAAAAGTCGGCGTTGTCCGTCACGGTGACACTTTTTTTCTCATCTGTCAATCCGCGTCCGTTCTTGAGCCAAGTGAATGTCAGGGGCTGGTCGCCCACCGTTGCAGCGCAGATCGCGGTGCCTCTTTCACCAACCGTGAGATTGGTTGAAAACGAGAACGGAGAAATTTTCGGTGCTACAAAATCAGAAAAAGTGGGAGAAATAGAGAGATAGAGAGTAAAATAGTAATGGAAGTTTTCTATTATTCATACTAAGTTTGAAACTGGCAGAGATAAATACGGCCCTCGAAGAGAGCTCGGCAGTGTGCTTAAATACTTAATTTTCCAGCCCCACATTTGCAAAATCAGCGTGCACGACTAAATTATGCCACATTCATTTGTCACGGAGGAGACAGGTATTGCATAGAAATATTATTGCATCGTTGTTTGCTGGCCGCTCAATAAGCGTTAGCGGGCGGCTCGAACCGTAGCTCGTATGAACGGCAGGCCGTCGAGCATTTTTTAGACCAATCACCCAATCATTTCGCTTTCAATGGAAGCCTTAGAAAGCTGATATAGAAATATTTCTGGCAGCCACTTTCTCGACTCTTCACATTTCAATAGAACATTCCTTCCGTGCCTATTTTCTTGACGCAAAACTAGCTAAACAGTGCTGTCCCTCGTTCTTGAAGGTAACAACCAACTCTCCGGGATTTTATTTGCTGACGAACAGTTGCTTTGCGTGCATTTGGATTTGCCGTGCAGTCAATAAGTTGTCGCAAAAATCGTATTTGTTTTTCTAGTCATATTCACTATCGGTAAAAGCGCTGGGTATAGCAATACTACTTAGAATTGTTTTTCGCCTTATATTCGACACGTAAAGGTGCTTAAAGGTTAACCTTACCTGAGCAAGTTACGTAGTTTCTCGATGATAGATAGAGCAGCAATATTGTGAACGTAGGCGCGTAGCACTTCCACTTCATCTTCAGAACAGTTGCTTACAAAGCCCCCCTTCGAACTACACGGTTTTCTAACGCGAGGACTGATGGCGTCCCTTGAACATAGACATGGCTTGGCTGTCCCTTAGGGCCGGGAGCCTAGCGCCACACCTTAGCGAGATGGGGCACTACAGCGAGCTTACTGTAGGCGTACAAGCTGGAAGTTGGAACCTTTTTGTGGGACGTTCGTGTTTTCTGAAATAAAAGTCGTAAGGTCGTCACGGCCGTAAGAAATTATGAGTCTGTCGTATAGACATTGGGATACAAAACTGGATGTTGAAGAAAGTCACGGGAAAAGAGAGGCTGCCATGTTTTTATGTTTTCTTAGATATTCTATTCTCTTGAGTAATATTTGTTGTATTCCCGATTTGTAATTCGTTTTCTTTGCAACAATGTTTATTTACTGATTATCCCGCGTCACCCGAAAGAACGACAGCACAGCACACCCCCGTCACTAAGAAGGAACTACACACACCTTCCGGACGCAGCGTGGCTGCAATTAAACATTGACGACGTTTCGAGAGGAGGCCTTTTTTCTTCATTCTGAGGCCTCCACTCAAAACGTGAATAAACCTTTCCTTGTTTCTGTTCAGTACATGGATTTTTCACACACACACACACACACACACACACACACACACACACACACACACACACACACACACACACGCACACGCACACGCACACGCACGCGCGCGCGCACGCACGCACGCACGCACGCACGCACGCACGCACGCACGCACGCACGCACGCACGCACGCACGCACACACACACACACACACACACACACACACACACACACACACACACACACACACACACACACACACACACACAGTAATTTGGACAGCACACTTGCACTTCCAACAGGTGGTACCTCGTTGGAGTAATTTCGACAGACAGGCAAACCTATCATATAGCGGTTTGGCCCTATACACCTTGATCTTGAATATTCATCGTCCGGATTTTCGCCTAACTATATATTACATATTTTGTGACTACTGGCTAATAATTAAGATTCAAGCGCCACTACTCCCCGTGATCGACTGCGTCATCATGAGCTTTTCGAGCTCATTAAGGAAATCAACCCTCCAAAGTTTAGAAATAATATTTTTGTGACGTTCTTTGCAATGGTTCTTAGCCTTAAAAATGGAGATGACGTTTTATTCTGACAATTTCAGTATCATTCGCATCAATCCGGTGAGACACAAACCATATTTGAAATTATCGCTGTTGCAATGTTCCGCGTATAGGACGCGGAGGGCGTCGAGTTTCGGGTTTCATACTGCTCCTCCGCGTATAAGACGCAACGAACTGAAATTTTACCCTGGTTTCGGTTTCGGTTTGGAGGCTGATCGACCCGCCACGCTGCGTCGGAAGGTCTTTACTTCTCGGCACCAGGAGACGCTTCGATCGTTTCGCTGTGCCCAAAACCGCCACTAGGCGTAATGTTTCGACCTGCCTGGAATATGAGAAATTTCGATAAGAATTAGAATTTTTTTTAAACAGAATATAGTGGTATCAGCGTTTTTTTTATTTGATATAAAAATATTCCATTCAGGAAAACGTACTTGAGGAATTGTTTTAACTAGGTGCTTTGTTTATGACGATATAATCAGATATTTTAGTTTTTTATAATCTTACTGTGTTTTCATTAAAAATAAAGCTTGACTTCTATGAAGTCAGTCAGACTATCTCTACTTTTAGATAATTCTCACTAATATTAATAAATTTAGAACGCAAGAGCACTGATACGATGAATATAAATTTGCTTAGGCGCGAGCCGCCACCCAGCGGCGAGTCATGTAACTACGTTTTTATCTTTTTTTTTTTTTTGCCTACACTTGCCGCTTTAAATTAAAATAGAAAATAAATTGTGAATGCTTGCTTAAGTAATATTTTTTTTTTTAAATCAATAAACCTTAATCCTTCAGAAGATTAGACGTTCGACGGCTGCGGCAATGAAACAACCGACCATTGTTAGGATTGCAAATTGATGTTAGGAGACGCGTGTTCGAGGATCCGATCGATAACTGGGTGTGCCCCCTAGCTTCCGCTTCCGGGGCCATGACGCATGGATGACGTGGCAGCGGGGGTACCCGGCGGTTGCCATGACGACGGCTGGGGAAGCTAGCAGAGGAGGGAGAGGGGAGATTGAGGAAAGGGTCAAAGGTGAGAGGGCGCGCAATATCGTGCACTGCTCCGATTCTCGGCTGGGGCCAGCCCGTTCTCCGGCGGCCTCAACGCCGCCGGTAGTTTCTTTAGTATGCGCCGTCCGTTAAACCAACCCGTAATAAAAAATAAAAAACAAAAATGCACTCACCGCAAAAAAAAAAAAAAATAAATAAATATATATATATATATATATATATATATATATATATATATATATATATTTCTTTTTTTTTTTTGCAGGAATGATTACGTTAAAGTTTTGAAGCGAGCTATTAATTTAGGGAAATTTTCCTTTTGGTTTTGTCTTGTTTAATATTAGAAGATTAATCCCGATTATATGAACACATACGAAATTCTAAAATTTAATGAAAGTTCCTAAAACATTACGCATTTGATAATTGTCTCTACTTCGTTTTTTTTTTTTTTTTTTTTTTTTTTTTTTAAGATTTGCAGTGTTAGTTGTGACGATATAGGCTCCACTATTATGTTGCCGTGTCATCCAGCTCATTTGAGTTGGAGATTTAGGTTTCCTCCTAATTGAGATTTTTACGCAATTAAGAGTATTTTCAGTGAAAATAAATTTTACTTATTTCTATTTTACTGGCTTTATTGAACCACTATTAGCGTAGACAAGGTTGCGTCTAAGGCTGTTGCTCCTCTCAGACGTAGGGGTAAGCCGTAAGCTCGACTCACGTTCAAAGCTGTGCACCTGGGAATGTCGCTTTCCCGCATTCGTACCGTTAGTGAGGGGAAGCCAACTGCACGAAAGCGTTCGACGCGCTTTCCAGTTTTGTGGAACGCATGCTGCAATTATGGACTTCCGAAATGTAAAGCGGAGGTATCTAATACGCAAAAGGAACAACAGGATAGCTTGCTGGGCTGGTTGGTTGGACGACATAATAAAAACAGCGCAAAAAGGACACACACAAAGTAGAGGAAGGACACAGGACATACGCTGTGTCATTTTTCTACTTTGCGTCCCGTCCTTTTTGCGCTGTTTTTATTATGCCATGCAGAATGAGCCTAAGTTTCAAAACAAATGCAAAAGAGACAATAATAATACGAGAGAACAATAAGTACAGCAGTGAGGTCGCCGATAATGTTCGAACATTTCTTTATTTTCGATACACAGCCCCCTCAGCACCGGTCGTTCACAGTGTAACATTCAAAAATGTATAATTTGGCTCTTTCTTGGCAGGATGGTATAGTCGATAGCACTAAATAATACGGACTTGAGTGAAATGATGAAATCTAGAGCCATTCTGGGGACCGGGGGGGGGGGGGGGGGGCGGAGGAAGAGGAGCGACATCGTTGTAGTGTGTAAATTTGGCACCACAAATAATTCGGTCATTTGAAATTCATTCCAAGTCGCTGAAGATGGGACGACTCTTGAAAATAATTTGGATCTGCGAGTCGCATGCTGTCCAAGTTTACAACCACGAATCGCATTTCTGGTTTAGTTTTTTTTTTTTTTTTTCTGGTTTCCCCGCCGGCCATAGGCGAGTCGTTGCTAATGCATCGGTTTGGTAATACAAATCACAGTCGAGTGATTGATAATTTGAGTAGTACAGGATACTCCCTGTATCTTTCTTAAAGATTCCTTGTAAGCTTGCTGTTTTGTTGCGATTTTTAAGAACTCGTCATAGGTACGCAGCAATCATAAACAGTCACTTTCTTGGTAGAAAAAATAAAACGACTTAGGCGCAATTGGGGTAACACTACAACACGCATGAAATAATATGAAGAGATAATGGTAATGACGATTGCGACACGTATCAAACTCCGCTGTCCGAGAGCAAGTATTGAGCACATGCCCGGCTACTTTGTCCAACATCAACGCATCCGGAGAAATCATAGCGATTTTCTGTCATACCCCTCGAGCTCGATAAGAGACTAGAAGAGTAGCTTGTCTACCTTTGCCATATCAACCCTATGACTGTGTATTTTCTTTCTGTGTTTTATAAAATCAGTCTCCCGTCCTCTTAGCGGAGTGTCTGTACTGTATGGGCGGCTCGATCAGCACACGGTGTTGTGTTGCGACGAATCATTAAGATACGTCGCTACTTCAGGTTTTATTTCTGTCTCTAGCACGTTCGTTACCGCTCCTGCGTGGTCTCTGGTGTGTACTTATAGTTAGTTCGGCTGAGCCATAAATATGCAACACGAGAACAGCTATCACATCATACTTCGTCTTACACTAATGCCACTATATAAAAGAACAAAAATGAATAAACGACCGGTTTCAACGAGGGAGCGACTTGAAATATAGTTTAGGTAAGTAACAATAAACAGACGCGAGGTTGAGCGGTTGACGTCAGCCGGGCCTTCTGGAACTCGGCGCATTGGACGCGATTCGCGACGGGTTGAAAGAAAAATCCGGCCACGGTCAGCCATGCGGATTTCTGCGTACTTCGAAGTATACTTGCCCTGCCAGTCTGACTGGTCTCTTAAGAGCCGGGTCAACACATTTCGCGACTAGAAGAAATTTTTTTTTTTTTTTTTCCGATAGCATCAGTATGCGGCTTAATGATCTCTTTCCATCTTTTCAGGAGTCGTTTGAAATAGAGCAAGAATGAAATGATTTGCATGATTCATGACACTCCAGCAAACGAAGAACAAAACAAACAGAAAAATAAAAAAGAAGGAATCGAACTAGGGTATGCCGATTTTATATTTATATGCCGCAGTAATTAGATCGCGAAGGGCGACATGTAAATATCACTTTTAATTAAGTTACGATAAAGCGAGTTTGTAAACAATTATTAATAAATAAAGAAGTGTATCAATAAAACATATTTTATGAACAATGAACAGTAAACAGGTTCAATAAATAAATAACAAAAAATAACATTTGAAAAGGAAAGAGATATCTCCCTTGCTTAATCTCTTAAGGAGTATTGTAAAACTGCGTGCGGTGGTCAACTGTTTTTGGGGTCATGCCTTTTCATTTTTTTTTTCTTCTGTAGTTCTTCTCCATCCCTACGAAGAAAAAAGGTAAGGCGGGAAATTGCGTGGCGGAAAATGCGCGTGCTATTATCCTAGAAAGAAGAGAGAGAAAAAAGAAAAAGCTAATTTCCTTCGAGGTAAGTTCAATTAGGAGAACTTCTCATTCCGATAAAATCCGAAAGTATACCTACATCGTTGGTTTCAAAGCAAAAGAAAAAGAAAAGTAAGCTGAATTAATTGCTGGAATGAACTTTATGAAGTTTTGTCTTATTTTGTCATACTCTGTGGCTGTTTTGTACTCTGTAGTTATAACCAATTCTTTTGCGCCAGGAGAAGCGTAATTCAACCACGTCACATAAGTAACAACCCAAACGGGCACCTCGTATTCCTGCAAAACAGGCGTTTTAAACTATTCTTGACCGAATAATCGATGACAGTCGATGAGTTAGCACGCTTCCCTGTACAAAGTGAGAACCCTAGTACTTTACGAGGTAAGTGCCATTTGCCAAGCCCGAGTCGCAGTCTTCGCGTGAGGGCCATCTTAAATACTTTTCACTCTTGCTGTCGAGCCCCGAATGGCTGCTCCGGAGATGTAGTCACTCGATATGTGTGCGCCCTCGATCCACCCCTGGGCGGCGAGGCACCCCCGGTCCCCTGTTATGCCGCGCTGTCGTAGAGGTGGGACGAGGCGCTGCTTTTGCGTAGAGACGACCGTCGCCGGTCTTTAGCCTGGAATAACAAAGCAAGCGGTGAGGCGGAGAGGACGCTGGGTCGGGGTGCTGGGACGAAAGAGAGCACGAACTGAACTGACGCAAGAGCTTCTTGAACACGTGACCTCGGTGTTGTGGATCGTGACGTCACGCGCCAGGCAGCATATTCAGCACGATCGACTAAGTTCGACATTGACCATAATGTGACAGTGCACGCCACTTCTCATAGTTCGTTAACAATAATAATAAAGACTGAAGATTGCTGTGTGGACTTTCAGCACTAGTAGGTCACCATCACTTGGGTGAAGAGGGGGAAGGAACAAAATAACGTGGAAATGAGATTTGGGAGTTAAGTCTGCGCCGTGGTTCTTGTGTTGTTGAATGCTTGCCTCGCACGCGACCTAACCTTTGCCGTAAAACTACAAATTATGATTTTTTTTTTTTTTAGAATAGAGGTGAGATATGTTTGTTGTTCGTGGCGCTGGACACTGGAATATGGTTCGTAGCTTCGGCAGCCCCGTACACCGCAAAACACAGTTACTTCGAACAAGACATCGGCGATTTTTCTGACTTTCCCCAGTTGGAACACTGACGGACACCACAATTGTTTTCTCGTGAGTTGGTATTGCAGATAAATACGCTATACAACAAATGAACGCCGGTTATTTGTTTGTGTTGTCGTGAATATTCTCCTGCGTCATTAAAGAGAGTATGTAGGAAAATGTTCCACATTGCTTCAGCCAATTTCACTTTTTTTTTTCCAAGAAAATGTACAAATAATTTGTAAAATGAAGCGATGAAAACACGAAACGTTTGATTTCGAATAATCCCTTTAAACTGAGATAATAAATAAATAAATAAATAACAAAGAGGCACAGTCATTTGACGTGCCGTACCTCGGTGGTGTTGCATCCTCTCTGAGGAACGGCTCCTCGGAGTTCCTCCAGCTTGTACGTTCCGGAGAGACTCCTCCGGCTCTGGATGGTGGCGTAGTCTGACCGACCTCGCTTCTCCTGCACGTCGATGTAGCGCTGCTGAGCGTCCCCCGCGTAGCTTTGCCTCTTCTCCGCTTCCAGGGCCGCTGCAGTGTGCGCGTGATGTCGACGACCGTTATTACAAACATACGGAACACAAACTTTCGTGTTTTATTAAAAATAGAAAAAAAATGGCCGCGAGAGTTTTTATAATGATTATACATAATGAGTATGTTAATTAGACATATACGTTTCTTATCTTTTGAAATTGAAGACTCCACACGTCGCCCAGGAAGGGTCGCCACGAACTCCTGAGTTCGCACCACTTGGTAATATTTATCTTTATCTTGTCCAGTCTCTAGTTTTAAGCACAAGGTAGTTCGGTTGTTACAAAATTTTGGGAAGCCTGCATCCAATTAGCCTGCCCGTCCGTGACAATGCCTGGGCTATGTTAACGCTTCTTGTTATGGTCATCGGTAAAGCAGCCCCCCGCCCCCCCCCCCCTTTCCCTGCTTTTTTCCTCTCGCCTCCAATCCTTAGTTCAGAACTACCATATATACGATGTCCCGCCAACAGACAACCTCGTCTCCCAGCAGCGTCGCTTTTTGTGCCTATAGCCCCTTTCTTCTTTGCGCTAATGAAAAAAGCCCACTATTTTCGCTGCGAAGAGTTTAACCTGGCTCCTTAGGGTCAGTGAATACGCAGCAACGATCCTCCTAGTCACTGGAGAACCACAATTGAAACTTGAAAGTTCACACTTAGGTACAAGGACAAACTAAAAGTATCCTTAGACTCCTACGAAATTCGTGTGAGCGAAGAATCTGTTCTCAAAAGTCACGTGGTCTTGTGACATCAGGTTACGCGATCACATGATTTGGCCACGTGGTCACATGGTCTCGAATGCACGCTCCGGGCGTGACGTTACATCTCTTCAAAATCACCCTCCAGCGAAAAAAAAAAAGAAAACGGCAGAGATAACACAAGCTCTCTCGCACTCTTGTTCGTGTTTACCGTTCTCGATTATCCGAGCACCGCATTGAGCTTACATCTCTCCAGGTTCTTGTGGGCCTTGGTCTTCTTGATGCACACGCTGACCACCCCGATGACGACGAGCAGGGCCACCAGGAACGAAGCAACGGGCACCAGCAGGGACGGGTCCTTGTAGAAGACCCACGGCTTGTCCGACCCTGTCCCCGTGGTCAAAGTTGTTGAAATGGTAATGAAGCATTACTAGGGGTCGGTAGACCATAACTGTGTTCTTTTTCTTCCTTTTTTTCTGCCGGTTTCGGGCGTATGAACTAACTTCCCTTTGAAGAGTGCAACGATGATGAGAACGACGTTGATGACTCCTATAGGAATGACGAGGACTGCACCGAGTGGGTGGTGAAGAAAGTATAAGGCCAGCTGAGGAATCAAATGAGCTAAAGTACGATACGTCACTGGATATTTGAATACCATTTTTTGTTTTGTTAAGCTAGCCTAACTAACATAGCAATATATATGATAGGGATTTTCTGCCTGCTCAGTCCTCCGGAGCCAATATGAAGCATGCATATGCTCCATGGTACAGAGATTAATTTATCCTACACAAGCGGTGGATTGAATGTTTATTCGGTGCTCGCGCGCAGTCAGTGCGCTCCGATCGGATAATCCATCTGGTATCCCGGCGGGCTACACGTGTAAGCGTTTGTCGAAGGAGCTGTGACAAGATATGGAGATTTTTTGCTCCTTGCATTGTATGCCTGTCACCATCTACTTTATAGCCAAACAAAACACAACTTGCAAAGGAACCTTGAACGCTGCGTAACTTGTAAAAAAAAAAAAGGCTTTACGGCTGTTAATTTTTGCAATTGTTGTGCCTTCTTGATGAAAGCATAATTGGAGAGACATACCTTGCCCGACGGTGTTGATGATGATGGCTTCACTTCCAGATCCACGTCCGTACTGATTGGAAGCCGTCAGGTAAACCCGGTAGGTGGCGCCTCCGTCCAGGTCGGTGAGCGTGTAGCTCGTGTCATCAGAAGCCACCACGGGAATGTGGTGCCACGGTCCGCTGCCCTTCTTGTAGTGAAGGGTGTACCCTTGGAAGAAAGAAATGTTGACTCTATTTTCGATCAAGACTTAAATGATCCAAATGATCCAGTGATGAGTGGTAAGGTAATTTGGAAGGAAAAAAAAACAAACGCTGTGGGCGTTCTCGCTCACCTGTGATTGGAGCTGCGGTTGCTCTTGCGTGGGCCCACCTTATCTTGAACGCCGAATCGGAGCTGGAGATTAGCGATAGGGCTGGAGGTGGTGGCACGTCTGCAACCAGGGTGAATACGCATAATAATGTCATCTGATTCTGTTGCATTCTTACGGTAGTTTTGAAAAAAAAAAAAAAAAAAAAAGGCGGGGTGAGGGGGGGGGGGGGGTTGTTTGACAACTTTGTGTTTATATGCGGGCAAAACACAAATGTCAGCTTTTTGCAGTGCAGACCCATGCGCATCAAAATCATCCTAGATGACGCCTTTCATCAGGTTTGAAAAGACTGCACAGACATTGCGGTAAAGTTCATAGATATGCAGTTCGTGCTCGAGTAGCGACATTTTTCAAGTTTCGACGCTGCCTGCCGTGACCAGTGCGGGTTTCAGAAAGAACTAAACAGCGTGTGACAATATAATTAACCGGAGGACGCCATTTTTTTCGCAAATTATATTTTTTTCATGGGTGTTATTTGCCGCTCCTTGTGAAAGACGGTACACGGAGTCAAGGGGACTTACGTCCCGGCAGATTCGTCGGCACACTGTACGCCACGCGCTCGCGTTTGGGAATTGTGCTGACGCGCAAAAATGTATTCAAAATGTATTTAAAAATAAATAACCTATGATCACTGACAACTTGAGAAGTTGTCAGTGATCATAGGTTATTTATTTTTAAATACATTTTGAATACATTTTTGCGCGCTTCGTGCCTCGTGATTAGTTTTTTTTTTTGCGTTATTATCAAATAATGTTACAATCTCACTGGCTGTGCATCGATAATGTTATGCTAGGAACTCGCCACGCCCTGTCTTTTTTTAAGTTGCTACTAACTCTAATATTAATTTATGCATAAATATATATATTTTTTGCGCCTAATTTTTTTGTGTTTTTTTGTTTTTGTTTTACTTAATTAAAATCCGGAGGCGTTCGGAGTGTGGCGCGTTCTGTTAACTTGCTCACCGCCGTCGAGTGTCCGCACGACGAGTGCTTCGGAGGGGGGTCCCTTGCCGATGGCGTTGTACGCCCTCACGATGACGCTGTACCGGGACGACTTGGAGAGGCCGACCAGGGTGACCTCCTGCGTGTCGTTGGTCACCGTCTCGACTGTCTTGAACGAGTACGGCTGGTTGGATTCGGCTGACCGGTACCCGATGTAGTAGCCCTTGAGCTCGCCGTTCCAGGTGTCTCGGGGAGGGGGCTGCGGTACAGGGGCGAGGCTTTGTGATATGGGGTTTCTACCGTGCGACAAACAATGAGCAAGAAAAAGACAAAACCCGTGAGGACGTACACTGTGTATTTAATAGCAATTTGTGTCAAAGAGCGCCGCTCGTGAAAGCAGCTTAGCGTATCCAAAGAGTCGTCGGAAATGTTCTGAACCAAAGTTACCGGATGTGCTGGGACCCGCTCGACAAGTTCAGCGTTTCGACGCGATTTTCAAATTTGCAGCGTTGAGCTCTAAGCACCTGGTCAATGGCCGAGCTCCTTCTTTATTTACAAGTTTTATAAAGCTTGCTCATAAAGCGGATTGTGTTTATTTTTGTCTTTTTAAATTTTTTTATAGGTTACGTTTCTCGGCACGTGCGAGGTACTCGGATACATGGTCATGAAACTACCCTTGTGGTGGTCTTATGACCACCTTCATAAAGTCATGTATCGGTAATATGTCCACCTATATATTTACTTAGTTCGTGCCCGAAAACGTTTTTTATACAACGGGAAATCTATATCAGCGATACGTTACTGTACTTTTCCATGAGTAGCTATGCAGTGAAGGATGTGAATGAAATGCTCGCATGAGTGAGTTGTTTGAAGTGGAGTCTTGGAAACCTTCTCGTATGATCAAGACTCCAGCGGCTCCTCAGCTCTAACATTTGACGTTGCCACTGTAAGACTGGGGGGTGCGTATTTGAATGATACGGACGAAGACATTATTGATGTTTACCTTCCACGACACTGCAACAGATGTGGGTCCTTTAGCCGCTGCCCAGACGTCTGTCGGAGATCCACCCGGTTCTGGACGCAAAGGAATGCAGAAGAAGTATTTAATCGATTTCCCATCTAAGATTGCGAACACTTTGGTGGTAAAAATACGAAGTCAAGGACCTGCTGATCTGCTGAAAACAGATATTCTTAGTCGACCTCCGTTATGCTCGGGCCACAGTATTTATCTTTTTATTAATATTATTGTGACGCCAGAACGTAGGTGAACTGACATTTCTTGGACACAAAACTAACTAATTAATTTATATATGTTTTTTTTATTTTAAATATACTGCATGGATTACGGCCATTTTACTTAAAAAAAGTTCAACGGTTGTCATTTCTTTTTGCTATATCTTTTTTTAATGTGGGAGTTTAGCATTAATTCGGTGCAATCAACCGGCTTCTGTGGCGGGTTGGTAAGGGAGGACGCGACTTGCTCACCTTCCTCGGACGTCTGGAACCTGATGGGATCGGACGGCGGTCCTTGTCCAACCTCGTTCTCTGCCGTAATGGTCATGGAGTAAGACGTACCCGGATGCAGTTCTGCGATCACGGCCGATGTCTGGGTGCTGGACACCGTTTCCTCGTGAAGGCGGTGGGGGCCTTCTGCACGTGGTAGTCAGCGAAACCAACGAATTTTGATCGCTTTCCTTTTAAAACTTTGAAATCGATTTGCAGCTCGAGTCACGAACCTCGACGTATGTTTTTGTTCCATCTAGTGCCTACCAAGCAGACAAAAAAATATTATGAAAGATGAGACGTTAATCTTCGTGTGTGTACATATTTACTGATGGCTGAACAATAGGAAACGCCGCGAACTCTGCAATTTCCTCGTCTTCTCGCGGCCAATCGGATTGCAGGATCACCCGACCATGGAAATCAGAAAACGGTTGCGACGCGTGGAACGTCGTTATAATGGGACACACTATATGGCTTTTGAGGTGTGAGAAACTACATATAGTGCAGAACTTCTCAGACTATAGGCACTGACATTTAAGAAGCGCACGACGTGAAGAGCGTGTTATTACCAGTCCGTATCCACTGAGATTGCGTCACTGACTGATAAGAACGACGACAAAAGAATCACGATGTGAGAAGCGTGAACATAAAAAGGCCCATCCTGCGTCCATGAATCGCTAGTGTAAAGCAGAACGGTTGTAAGTGGTGAGTTAAAGGGGCACTGACACATCAAAATCATATTTTTTTTTTATTATCCGAAACGATTGAAAACGATGCCGGGACATTACCCTCAAAATTTGAAATTTGGGAGTTCAGTATTTGTGAAGTAAAAAAACAATTTCCAAATGCCGAATTCGAAGTTCCCGCGCGATCGGCGCCGGTGCCTTGACGTCAAAAATCGCGGAGACCTGAGAGTCGACTTTCTTTCACCACTCCCGGCTGTTTCCATGGCGACCCAAAGCGAGGAGGAAAGGAGTGAGCGGCGGCGTTACGGCGGACCGGTTTTGAGCAGTGTCGCCTGTTTTCCGTTGGAGGATACAAATCCAGGAGACGGCACCACAACGAACTCCCGATTTTTGGTATTTCAAAAAGAAGGGCCGTAGTGCGTTCGCAATTGCGTTAAAAAACATGTTTTACGATTGCCGTAATTAAATGTTATAGAGATGTCGCCTACAAAGCTTCTAAATTTCCTGATTTTTGACGTCACCGATCAAAAGAAGCGAGGAGGCGAGAGGCGGGAAAATCAAACGCCAAAAATAAAAAGACGCGCGCGCGCGCGGGAAAATTTTTTTTCGCGATGCGGTTTTTTTTGCGTGTCTATGACTGCAACTTGCATCGTTTTAGACAACTAAAATAAATACGACCTTTGGGGTGTCAGTGCCCCTTTAATGCCGTTAGAGAATCCTCACACAGTGGCGGAGGCTAGCACACACAACAGGAGAATTTTCACACTATAGTTTCCTATGTGTCACATTCTAGTTTTTTTTTCTCTTCCCTTTCTAACTCTGCTAGATCGACAGTATTGAGGACCGTAGAGTGTACGCGACTCGCACAAGACAAGGGGTGACTCGCCTTTGTCCCTCCAGTAGTGGACCACGTAGTTTGTGACGGGGCTGTTGCCGCTGTACGGCTCGGACCACATCACGTTCACCTTTCGGTTCCAGACTTCCAGGATACGAAGGTCAAGGGGCTGAGCTGGAACTTCTGCAAGGGGACGGAATGGCGAGCCCGTCTACTCGAGGACTTCCAGTAGCCACATTGCTCACACGAGATTAGGTAAGATTCGTTTAGAACGGACCTTGTATGCTTACGCCTAACACTGAGCTAGAACTGATATTGAAATGCACCGCGGCAGTATGCTTCGCATCGTGTTTTTTAACCAGCTGAATATTTTGACAGGCTCATTTTCCCTAAGATCATTTCTTTGTTTATTTTTATACCCCACTTTTCGCTTTAGGATGCAGCTTGTTTTGTGCTGTGATGCTGTTAAGGTATATATGCAGAAAACATCGTATCTCATGTTTGCTTTTGAATAAATAGTTTACACGGAACCCTCCGCCGTCGCAGTTCCAAGTGGCGAACGGTGTTATTCTACAAAATTAATTCACGGTGTTATGGGAAAAAAACATATTGGCAGAAAATAACGACTGCGATATAGACCTTTTAACATAAGCCGTCTGTTTTTACCTCTGCTTTAACCGTTTCCTCACGTCGTGCCTAGCGCTAGCAGTGCTGTAGTTCCTTTCTTCGTGCTAAGTTTCCCTCCCACTTTCACAGATTGGCTTTTATTTTTTTGTTTTATGTGACACTTTGGTGTCTTGCCATTTTCTTCATTAAGCTGCTTAATTATATCTCTTGGCCGAGTGATTTTTGCGACCTCGTTTGCTCCGCTTAGCAGATCACACGTTTTACGGGAGCGTTGTAAATGTACGACAATGCAATTCGTTATGTCTTGGGGACCGGTACACTTCTCGTTACTTGGTGCGTTCTAGGTTTAAAGAGAAAAAGAACGGAAACAGCTGTAATGATGCGGGCACGATACCGAACAAATTGTAGATTGATTGATTCATATATATATATATATATTTATTGATTGACTGACCATTGATCTTTAATGCTAATGGTCGCAGCCCCTGTCATCTGCATGCGTGCGAGGTAGTAATAGTGGCGGTGGGGGTAGTAGTAATAGTAGTAGTAGTAGTAGTAGTAGTAGTAGTAGTAGTAGTAGTAGTAGTAGTAGTAGTAGTAGTAGTAGTAGTAGTAGTAGTGGTAGTAATAGTAGAGGTAAAAAAAATGAAAGCCGTTTACAACCTCCTGTAACGCCGAATTAGATCGCAGCTCTTAAGGAGGAGGAGGGCAAGGTACGGAGAGGGGGCTATGCCACTCCTCCTCTCCTGCTCGGCCCCCACTTAGGGGAATTTTCCCGCTAAATTTAGCGGGGAAAAGTTTTGGTTAGATTTAGCCGGGAAAATTTCCCGCTAAATTTAGCGGGGAAAATTTTTCGCTATATTTATTGTGGAAATTTACCTATCATGCACCGCGCGTTCACGCTTACGGCGACGCCGCTCAAGCCGGAAACGGGCGCCTAAGAGCTGCGCTCTAAAAAAGAGAGAGGTGGCTCAGCTTGCCTACGACGAGCAGCTTGATGTTCCTCTCGTCGGAGCCGTACTCGTTCTTGGCGACGCAGGTGTACAGGGCCGCGTCGCTCCGATCCGTCGTCGGGATCAACAGCTCCGAGCTCACCCCCTGCTCCGTGGAGGACTCGAATTTCTCGTACCTGGAGGGGTGCGGATGTAAAAGGTCACGACACCGTTAACCCCAACTGCGCCATCCACGCGTCTATTTCGCTTTCTTATTGTTCGCAACCCGCGGAAAGTTTTCAATGTAATCTGACAATGCAACAAGATGTGACGGTGCGCGCGCGCCGTGGGAGGAGGAGGAGGAGGAGGAGGAGGAGGAGGAGGAGGAGGAGGAGGAGGAGGAGGAGGAGGAGAAGGAGGGAAGGAGGGGAGGGATAGGAGGGAGGAGGGAGGGTGATGATGAACCCAATACTTTGCTTTCCCCGAAAAGTTTTGTCTAGACGTAGTAACACGCTTTTTGTATTTGAGAGCTATTTTACTGCAATTATCTACGATTACAAGAGAACACTTCGTTTAAAAATAACAAGCAAATAAAGAAAAGCTTACACGTTTTTCTAATGTCTTTTTTTCAAGGGCTAAGCGTCGACTAAAATATTTAGGCCAATTTATTTCCTACTTTTATTCGAGTAATTAATCGGTTATTAGGTTATATTGATCTCTAAAGCATAATGTCACAAAAGAGACAAAACTACACGTTTTGCTTTTGACTTTTGATTTCTATATCATCAATGGCAAAATGTGCAGCCTCACTTGCCCCTAAACGCTTTACAAAAAAAACAACAACAGAACTGTAAGCAAATTCAGGCAAACACTTCTAAAAATATAATATTTATGCACTTTTTTTATCTTATAATTGCTCTAGATGGCAGCCAAATGGAATGCTTAAGTTCTTTACCGTGGAAGACAGCTGTGCTGCCTCCTAGAAATTAAAATATAAGCGCCAATTACGCGTTCTTTTTTCCTCCACGAAGTTTTTTTAACTCAATTTCAAGCCAATTGATAAAGCGCGTAAAAAAAGTGATCCCGACGAAAGAATTAATATATTCATCGGAGGGTTATCGATTAATTACTCAGTCCTATTTTTTGTTCTATATAAAAAAGAACGGGTTTGCTTAGAATTCTGTAGTCGAAAGTCATAAAGAACTTATTTCAATTTCCTCTATTTCTTTTCTAGTAGGCATCATGCTTATCTGATAACATTTGTTTTCTTTTTTAAATTATGATCGATGGAGTTAATGCCTTGCGCGTTAATATTTAACTTACACATTCTTTGATTGCTCGAGCAGCTTTAGGAACTAACTGCAAATATTTGTTTACTTTCCGATCTTCAAACAAGCAAGCCACGGTGAAAATGTGGCGCCGCGGATGTTAAGAGTGACACGTCTTCGACTTGTGGATACAGTGCGGGTTTCCTTCTGAGTGCTGGGAGTTTCTCAGTGAGGTGCCACTGACACAGCAGACACCCACCTTGTAACTGGAGCGAATGCTAGAGGCTTCTTCTCTTGAGACCAGGAGATTTCCAATGGCGTGTCTCCAAGGGCCGTACACTGTAGCGTGGCACCTTCACCTCGACGCACTGTCTGCACCTTGAACTTCTCCTCGAACCTTGCGGGCACTGCGGGAAAGCAGAGACAGATTGGAGTTTTGCGCTATTTTCACTCTCCGTGGCGACGTGTCGAGTTGCTAGCTTAGTACAAATAAAACGCCTCAGCACAGTTATTTTTTTTAATAAGCAGTCAAGGTGTGTACGATGCTATGCTGTAGCCACCGACATGCACTTCTTGTAAAGGTTCATTTTCCTTAATCTTCTTGAGGGCGCACTTCCAAAGGTCGGAGACGTTCATTTGGTCGAGCGACCCTCCGGTTTCATCTGAAATGGGAACATCAGTGAATTTTATGAATTCATCATTCGCTGTACACAGAACGTAGTAAAAAAAAAAAAAAAAAGAGTTTGCGTGGTGTTCATGCATTCTGTAAATGGACGTAATCATAATTTTATTCATGCGAGTGCTTAGCAACGTTGTTAGAATGACTGATCCCCTTTTTTGTCTCGACCAATGCCCCTCTAGTTGAACCGGCCAGGACCAATTCTAAAGGCCCGTTCACACACTTGCGACCTCTTAGAACCGGGTGCCTGGGAACCTCTTAATATCTCTTACAACGAGAGGACACACTGTCGCCATCTATTGGGTAGCAGTGTAAACTTGGCGGTCCGGCATATTTTCTATTTCTCTCGCGCATTATCCTTTTTTCTTGGCTCGAAAAACTTTGTCAACGTTATAAACGAGCCTTTCTTATAGGTATTACAGACATTTGACCTCGGACATCCCGCAAAACCTTCCCTCTTGTGAATTGCTGTTCCAGGGTCACCTCATAGATGGCGCCAGAGAGCCAATGTGTTCTCTCGTCCTAAGAAATTTTAAGAGGTTTCAACAGGTCTCGTCTTTCTCCGTCGTACTCGGTTGCAAGAGTGTGAACGGGCCTGAAGATGCTTTTTTTGACCTGTTCCAATTTTACTGCAAGGTGATATCGCGGTCAAAAACAACCTAATAGGCGTTCACCTTTTGAAAACCGCATTGCCTAAATGGCTTGTTTAGTTTTTTTTAAATTCTTTTGGAGTAAGAAGCGACTGATTAAAGTACGAGTAAAATTTTCGAAGCTGTTTCCTGTTCTCTGGCTGAGTTATGTATGTTTGTATGATTCGCTCTGTGACAGTCTAACATTTTGAAGGGCAAGACTAAAAGAGCGGCTTGTCTATGTTACCGATCACTTTGACGGTCACTCGCTTCTCGATCTTCTCTCCGTGGTTGTTCGACGCCCTGCAGCCGTACGTTCCACCGTCTCGCTTGGATGTGTTGTAGATCTCTAACGTTCCATTCACGATGCCGCCAAGGGTAACGCCTCCAGAGGCTCCGTCTGCACCCATGATTTATATCAGATCGAATCCTTTTACTTCCGGCAAATGCAGTCTCTTCCAACACCTCTTGTTCTCACATTTTTCCCACGTGATGACTGGAGACGGGTAGCCGACGCTCTGACACCCGATCCGCACTGTACCTCCCATCAGCACAACTGCGTCGTGGGGTTCCAGTGACCAACGTGGCGGCGCTATCAAGGACACAGTGAAGAAGCTGACATGTTATCCTTGTCATCACCGTACAACACACGAAGAAGTTACTCGAAGCTGGTAGGAAGTATTCGAATAGTGACCTCCTGAAAACCACAGAGTGGCAACCGGCAGTGTTAAGAAACCTAGTTTGTTTAATTCAGAAGGAGCAAAATCTTAAACGAAACGTCGACTACCAATATGAGGCTTCCAGCGTGTTCATTTCAATGCCTTCATCATGCAATCCCTTTGTGTCAGAGATCCTCTAACTCTAATTTCGACGGGTGTTCGTACTGATGCTCAATAACGTAAGAACAGTTGCGACTCACCGTTTACAACCAAGCCGTTTGTGTACCGATCTGATCCGGCCGCATTCGTCGCGATGCATGTGTAGTTGGCGGCGTGACTCTTCGCCAGCTTCGTGATGACGAGACTGCTGTAGTCCTTCCAATTCTCTATCGTCACGGCGCCATCCTCTTGTAGGTCCTTGTTGTTCTTGAGCCACCTGAACGTGAACGGTGGGCTGCCCGTTATCACGGAGCACGTGGCTCGGAACCTTGCGCCTTCTTTGAGGTTGCTGGGAAACGTCATCGGTTGAATTTCCGGAACGTCTGCAAGAATTCAAAGGATTTTACACTCGCCATATATACTTTGTTTCAGTTATAGTGTTTAGGAATAATTGGGGGTATAATTTTCGAGCTTACCTTTGGCGTTGCTGGGTAGAATACTGCATAAGAGAACGAATACGGAGTGCCACGAAATGCGCTTTAGTGTGTTCATGGCTTGGCGTAAAAATACGCCGGAAAGACTGTCGTCAATATTTATTACATTTTTTAGTAGAGCACGGTTCGCAATATCCCGTTGCGAAAGACACCTTCCGCCATCTCTTGGTCGAACCTTGCAACTGTGGCTACTCCAGGTCTGTCCGCTCTCTGGAAACTATACCCGCGTCCAAAGCATGGCGCTGTAATCCGGTTTCATTTAAAGCAACTAATAAACGTTGACCGTTTTGTAAGTATGTAATTAGTGGCTGATACTGCACCTGGTTTGTAGCCAACCGCGGGCCGTCCTTACGCGTTACAGATTTAATATGCGCTGAGCAAGGCAATAGACAACCACTGTCAGTACCAGGTGAGGTACCCTGTTACTAAACGTGTAACGAGAAGCTAGAACCCCAGATAAACCGATCTTCACTACCCCCTGAACTCCGAGAGGTGCAAACGTAACGTAACCACAACCCCACGGACACTGTCCTTGGGTAGTCCCTATTTTATTTCACGTAATTTGTGATTCAAGATTAACGAACAAAAAGCGTTTTGTCCCAAATAGATACGATGCGAGCACAGTCTAACTAATAGATGCCACTTTTAGTTTTGATCACAAAAATATTTAGAATCGTTAAAAGAACTTCCTTTAACGTGTCTTGTTAGTCCACAGCGAATTAAGACCATACATTTTTTACGACATTGAAAGTAGTAATAAAAGCATCCTGAGAACCAAACTTGGACGGGTTTGCTCGTCTGAAATAGCCTTGGGGGCTTACTTAAAACCAAACCCTATTTTTACATGCCCACATATTGTGTATATCTTACGGATATGCGTATAAATATATATATGGGAAAAATGAGCTTTTGTGTTGGACCTTGTAAGAATTAATCGTAACCGACGTTTTATTCCGACGTTTTATTTTTAACTTTTTAAGCATGCGTTAAGCTAGATTCGATAAGAAAATCATGCTAGTGCATCGAAGCTCGGTCCGAAGTTTTGTTCGTTTCGCGAGCCATATTTTATTTTATGCGCCCTGCTTACCAGTGACCGTGACCTTTACAGTCTTGTTCAGTGGAGCGCCAATTCCGTTAGCAGCACTGCACCTGTACATTCCTTGGCTTTCTTTCTGAACGCGTACAAAGAAAATGCTTCCGTCGCTCTGGATGTTGAGCGGCTGCTGAGTCGAACCTGGAAACGGAGAAGAAAAACACCGACTGGATGAGCACAGACATCGCTACAGTCGAGCGACTAGTCTCGGCTGGAATTATGATTGTTTCAATGATTGCGTTTATGTAATTATGATTTCAGAGCTCGCATAACTGAAATAAAGTCGTCGCTACGCTGGAAATCTTTTAGTCAGAGAGGTCAAATCATCCGCTGCAAGTTAGATAATTTTTTTTATAACAATCCTGGTATCTGTAAATACAAATATATTTTGGAGCCTACCTCATTGTTCCTCTATGTTTTCTTTTACTTATACTTCCCATGTGACGTGGAAGAAACAGTTAAAAATTCTTCTGTGAAGTGTAGAAGTGATGTGTTTAAATGTTTTCTTTTTCTTCCGTGGCATGTTGAAGACTGGAATATGCAGCCCAATGACATTTATGAAAGGCCATTATTAGAGCTTTTTTTTTAGAGAAAGCGCTAGTGTATATGTAAAACTATACGCTTGCGCTTTTTCACTGTTGTAATTCTTACACTTTTAAAATCATTGTGTTTTATTTACGGTTATTTTTTCTAATTTGTTGTAATGTACAGTTTACCTTTTTTGTGTATGTGCCCAGCCTAGTCTAATGCTTCTCGAACAAATGTAAGTTTTCAGACAAACAAATTCATTAACAATTAAGTAAATAAATACATTTTTAGGAAATAGAAAAATAAATAAATTACCAGTGGGCCTGGTGATTCGATACCACGTGAGCTTTGGTTCCGGATGACCCGAAGCGGCGCATGGTAGCGTCAAGTTGGCGCCTTTGACAACTCTGCGATCGCTCGGTTCTTGGATCCAGGCAGGAGGTGCTAGAGCAAAAAATATACCGTATTTAGAATGATAGAGCGAGAATTTGCAAATAATAAATAAAAAAAAAAAAAAAAACGTGTGTATGACATGCACTGGGTGTGTCGATGCATCGTTCTTAAACGCAGTTTTCATTTTCCAGTGACAGGATGGTGAAAAACATCGTCTGCCACCAGAGTGCTTCCTCCGTACTCGTTTAAGGAATCAAATGAACCAATATTACATATTCATTGGCATTCAAGGTTATATGTTGTGGTGCAAATGACTTACTTGGCGATTGTTCTCTTTTCGTTCTTTTTCTTATAGTACGTTTCTTTTGCCAGCTTATAATGTTTCAGGTACAGCTTTCAGGTACACGATACCACATTCGGAAATGAAAGATTTGTAAGAAGGCCCGTTCTGTCCACAGAGTTTCATAAAATCGGTGACATGGGTGAGACTGAATTTCGTATAATCTGTTGGTTTTTTGGGGGGTTTTCTCTCTCTTTTTTTTACTGTGTGGTTAAACGCGCCTTTAGTAAGGGAGAGTGGAGAGGAATGGTACAGTTTTCACGCTATAATTCTTTTTGTGCAGTTTAATGGAAACATAGAAACAAGTTTAATGGTCCTAAATGTTGCGTGAGAAACGCTTCACATCAGCTGTACAGCATTTTGTACTAACTATTCTAGAAATGTAAAAAGAAAAAAAAAAGTGTCTTATTCCACCTCCCCCCAGGGAGGAATGGGACAGATGAAGGATTGCGCCAAAAATTGTGCTACTGAATATTATAGGCGTATGGGTTTCAGACACGAAGCCCGATTGCAGTCGTCTTTTTTCCTCCGATTGTCAGTGGTTTTGGACGGGAGACTAAGAGTACGGTATCATTTTAGACAAAACAAGTAACTGGTGGCCTAAATGCAATATTAACTAAAATTATATCATTAACTATTATTACAGATTTACCTTAGTGCTTATGTACCAGTCAGACCACCAATATTCATAAAGGAAGTACTGACACACTGTCCCTGTCCTCCCACCACCTTACTGACCCATTCCTCCCAAACACCCTTGCATACGGTAAGATGCCAATTGTGGCAACAGATGAGATGTTAAGCTTAAAATAGTGGTTGTTAAAAGCAACCCGTTAACATATATCTTAAACGCTAGTTTACTGCAACCATTGTCCAAATCGTTTTGATTCAAGAATCGAGAAAAATGAATTTGTGCTATTTACTTGTCAGTGTCGACGAGGCAACCACTCATTCTAATCGTGTACTCCACGCCAAGCAAGTACACCATTACAGTTGAAAGTACCGCTACCAAGGCGTCATCCATCTAGCAGCTCATCAGCTTTTTGGAACTATTCACCGAAGAAATATGTTGACTTTCCCACTCTTCGCCATCCTCCCATTCCCTCACTCTCCCTTACTGCTGCTTCGAGTGTACCCCAATTCCGTTGTAAGTGCGTGTATTAAATTTGAGGCATCAACGTTTCTCACCTTGCCTTTTACTCTTTCGCCGTAAATTGATGCATTTTTATGCCTTCTTGAGTCAGTGTGAAGCTGTGCAGCTGTTGAGTCGCGCACAATTTACTCAGCTCAGATTGAATACTTACCGAATACGTTTAGTTGCGCGGAGTACGCGCTACTCGACTTGGCCGTCGACGCTCGGCAGGTGTAATTTCCTGAATCCGATGCGGTAGCGGGCCCCAGGGTGATTGCGGACAGATCCGGTTGTGTTTTGATCCGAACAGTGTCGCTAACACGTAGCGGTTTGCTGTCCTTCATCCACGTGAAGGACAGAGGCGTTTGTTCGGTATTCGTGTAACAGATGATTTTGATCGTGTCTCCTACGACCGCTTTTTCGGGGAAGTAGAACGGCGCCACTTGTACTTTTTCTGAAACAATCAAGAAGCAGATTTAGTGCTCGTTAGTACGTCAGTACATTTAATCATCGTCGCAACGAAAGGTTACAATGTCCTACTTACCAGCAGCCGATATACAGATGATTTCAAAGATGATGAATAGTATGAAGACAAGCTCCATCTTGCAGCGCTCTACGGTCGCGCTATGAACGGTCCGAGGTACATGGAAAACGTCTGGGCAGCATCGTGACGCCCTCTGTGTTTAGACGGTGGAAGCTAAGTGAATGTTGGAAGCGGTATTCATGGTGGTCTGTTTCGAAAAAACTGCTTGGAAATCTTCGTTCTGGCGGTCATAGTTCAGTGCGAACTTTTAGATTGGCTGATTGCATCGTCGAATGCATGTTTCTTACCGTAAACCTTCACGAGAAAGGTCTTCTCGATTGCCGTGCCAAACCCGTTGGTCGCCGTGCACGAGTAATTTCCAGCGTCGTGCTTGCTGGTCTTCGTGAGCTGCAGCGTTCCCGCGCTTTTGCCTTGAACAAGTGGCGGTTGGGCTGTGTTGTAGAAGAAAAATTAAAGAAATAAGCTTGGATATGGTTACGGAATATATGACAGAGAAGTAAATTGATGAGCATTCAAATTTATGACTGAGTTTGGCAGCTGAAAGTATTCTGTAAACTCTAAATATTCCTTACTAGCTTCTAGCAGACAAACAAAGGTACTATTTTTCTCTTACCACTTGTTTTGCGTATAGTCACATTTGGTGCTGGGTTTCCTCGGGCCTTGCATGTTATGGACGCATTTCCTCCCTCTGTGACGAGGACATCCTGCGGAGCCTCCGTCCATTCTGGAGAAGCTGTCATTGTTCAGGAAAGGGCATGAAAGGAGCAAAGTAAGGCGCAGTTTGGTTAATTGATTCCTTTCGTTTTGGCGCTTCGGTGTCTCTAATAATGCAAATCAGTTTCAGTGTACCAAAAAGCCTAGATTTATGATTTCGCTACGATATCACATGATCGATAAGTACCCCAAGACGCGCTCTACTATATGCGTCTTCAACATATGTGTTGGAAGTAAACTTAATCTTTACAAACCGTTGCTATTATGTTCAGAAAATGCCACGCAGTTTTTCGGAGCAGGCCGTTAGTGATGTTTGATGTTCCTCTCGTGCGAATCGAAACTGTCACGGAATATATCAGTTTTTGTAATGTGTAAATGGGCTCAAATGTGGGACTCAAATTGACTAATAACGTTTTGTTTAGAACGCTATCCAGCTGAAACTTGCGCCAGCCCCCCGACGTCGTGTCCGTGTTAGTTATATCACGGGATGTACGTCATAAAATGTTATGTGACTACGCTGTTTTCTTGTTGTCGAGCATACGCACAGATTTATAAGGCTTACCATACACCACAAGTGCGGCCGTATAGGAATCCGACCTTCCTTTGGATGTCACCATGCAGGTGTAGTTTCCGCTATCTTCTTGCCTGGTTGGCTCGATAGTAACCATTGAGAAGTCCGCTTCTGTCCTGACGGACAGTCGCCTGTAACGATTTCCGTCGAGTGCTTTGCCATCCTTGAGCCACTTGAAGCGTGCGTCGCTCGAAACCTTGCGAAGCGAGCAGGTCACACTGACTCTCGAGCCCTCGAGCAAGTCATTCGGGAAATAAAACGGCTGAACTTTCACAACCAGTGCATTTCCTGCGAAGGGAAACCAAGTGGCGCGGCTGTCAGAATGGTATCTAATACATTGTAAACAGCGGCAGATCCACTTTCTAAATTCAGAAAAATATGCGCTTAAAAATTAAAAACACGGTTTGACACCTTCTACATTCCGTTTCGCAATTCGAGATATTTCTCATACGACTAGCGTAAAGGCATTTCAGAAAGGCGTGTACTTACCGAAAGATATAATAAAAAGGATGAAAGCTGCTTGCAGATGGAGGAGGTACGTCATAGTGCTACTGGGTTTGTTGAAGTAAAAAAGAAGCGCGTCACGTTAGAGCAATAATTCTTAGCACATCAATTTAAGAACAGCTGTAGGACAGTCCGCGGTGTGAGCCAGTTTTGCGCGAAGGTACATTCGGCGCCACCGCGAATCCCCTGTCGTCGCCACCATTGACAAATGACTCCCCTCTGAGGGATGAACTTGCAGCGCCATCGGTTGACATACAAACGAAGTACGGAGCGTCATATGCCGCGTTGGAGTTCGAAACTAAAAGCGAACCATCGGTCAGTGACGAGCTGAGTATAAAACCAACTGCCGAGCACTTTTATCGGCAGCCATTTGCACGAGGAGCCAATTAAAAACGTTGTGAAAGGGCGCCGCGTGATTGAGCTACAGCGACGAACGATTTAACAACCACGGCAACTGTCACGTGGGAGAATAATTATCGGAAGAAGAGAGGCGGGACGAACAAACGTTATGCGCCAAACGTATGACGGTGCTTGATGAGATCTCACCGTATATTGAGACAACCACACGTTTGTAAATGTCTTCCGGTACCCCATTGACTGCACTGCATTCGTAGGTCCCTGCGTCCAACTTGGACGCGTTCATGAGTTGCAGCAGGTTCCGTCCAGAGGCGCTTGTTTCTTTTGCAGCACCTACGCCCAGAGGTCACAGGTCGTTGCACTTAATTAAAGTTGGAACAACAAACTTAAGAAAAATAGTTCAGTACGGCACTTGAAGTTTTCAAATGTGTCGCATGAGAAAGCAGTGAAAAACTAAAGATAATCGCTGTGCCTTCAAAAAAACCTTTGCATGTTTACATTTTTTTTTAGTTGTAACTAACTCTCTCGGGACATTAAGACACTACTGATGTTTTCATCGCGAGCTACTGGAAAGTACGAAACGAAGGATAGTCTAATTGTTTTTTATACTTCAAAAACCTAATGTTTCCTAGTTATTATGTAGCCGTTTCTCTCTTGCAACTAGGCCACGTATCTTGCAAAATATTTAGATTGACAAGTGAGATTTCAGTCTAAGCAAGAGACTTGAAAGGTGCAGTCAGCTATAAGATCTCAGCGATTTTTTTCGTGTCTTGCATATAAAAAGTTGCTACACACTATGTAATTGTGAAGGTGGTACTTTACCGTTCTGACTTGCCAGTCTCCACTTCACTGTTGGCGTCGGATTTCCTGTGGCTTCACATGTAACGGTTCCGTTACCGCCCTGGTGCAGCTTGATATCTTCCGGTTCGACCACCCATTCGGGGGGCGCTGAAAAATTTTATGTTGAAATGATAAACCTGGTGTAGAAAAAGCGCAACATGTTTAGCAGTCCATGTCGTACATTCAACGTACCGAGAACGCTGAGTACTTCCGAGTGGCTGTCCAGCTTCTCTCCGATGTTTCCAACGCATGTGTAATTTCCACTGTCCCCTCGATCCACTTGACCGATCACCAACGTACTAAGTAGAGAATGTTGAATAATCTTCACTTTGGCTTTATCCACCACCTCCCTTCCGTCTTTGAGCCACCTGAAGTGAACGTTTGTTATTCCACTTGTGGTGGTACAGGTGACCGTGACTGTAGTTCCTTCCACGACTTTGCTTGGGAAGTAGAAAGGTTGGAGACGTAGAACGCCTGAAAATAAGGCGCCTCATAAAAGAGATGTCGCATGCAAAATCGTATTTTCTTTCCTTGAGTAGTCAGAAGCAGCTTGCTTAATACTGAGATGTTCAGGTGGTGCTGTGTCTCGTCTTACCTTGCACTGACGTCCAGCATTGCAGAAAGATGACGAAAGACAAACGTGTCGATAGTCTGAAGGGTCCGCGAGAACAACGCTCTGATCTCATGCCGGACCCTGGATGGAAGCTTCGCTCGCTCGCTGTCCTTGTATCTCGCTGATAGAACATGCTGCGTCCGGTTAGGCACTGTAATATGACATCCTAGCGCCATCTCTGGAACCGGTTTTCAGTTGTGCTGTCGCCCTTTGGCGCGAGTGTCGCTGTCTTCAAATTGAGTTCTCGCCAACTCAAGACCAATAAAGAGATTGTGATTTGTCCATTGCTTTTTCCCTAAAGTTTTTAGGCCTGTGAATAGGGGAAGCTTACCATACACGATAACGCGGAATCGCTTGAGCAGCGGATGACCAAGGCCGTTATCCGCTTTGCAGACGTAGGTACCGGAACGGTGCTTGGTTGACTTGCTAATGTCCAGTGTGTCTGAGAGTGCGGCGGCGTCTTTTCCTGGAAAACAGCGCAGCAACGACAAAAAGGCGAACTAAGCTTTTTTACTTTGATCCCAACTTTACAGTTCCTTGGATGTCGCTCTGGCGTAATTACCTTCTTTCGTGATTACCACATTTGGTTGTGGTTTGCCTTTCGCTCGACATGGCAGAGTCAGGTTGCTTCCTTCCATAAGCTTGATGTCCTCGGGCTCCTGTATCCAGCTTGGGAGAACTGAAAATGTATTGCTGCGTTGCGTATTGCTTGAAGATTTTCCCCATTCGTTTCCCTTTTCTCATTTAGACCCTCTCCTACAGACGCTTTCGGTCAGCTTCTTGTTCTGTGTTGACACTTGTCCTCACAAAGAAGTGCTTCTCTGAACGCATAAACCTTTGCATCGGCTCCCTTCCAAAAGATGTCTCTCCAACGCGACCTGGTCGCACAAATTCCGGACCACTTGCATTTTTTTAGCACTTTTTTTCCCATAAATTTGTTGTCACCCTCACCATAAACATTAGCATTTTCTGAGCTCGCAAAGAGTTGATCACACCCTGCAAATTGCTTATGTCTCTATTCTTGGTGACTAACGTAAGGACCTCCCAACTGCTGGCTAACATTTCACAAACCCTTCCACAGTCACCAGACCTGGCGATTGCTTCGATTTTAAGGGTTTACCTGCATTGTTTGAGCATACTCACCAAGAACATTTAACGTGTCTGAAAAAGAGTTTTTCTTTCCGTTGTACGTTGCCTGACACGTGTAGTTCCCGCTGTCGGAGGCCTCCAGTGGTCCGACAATTAACGAGGAAAGTTCCGGAAACGTTCTGAGCCTCATCTTGGCGCTCTCCGACACCCGCTTGTTGTTCTTCAGCCAGCGGTATTCGACGCCCGAGACTGCCGTGGTCGTCGTGCACGTGACCGTCACAGTCTTTCCTTCCACGGCGTCCGTCGGAAAATGGAAAGGCTGCAGTCGAAATTCTGCAAGGGTTTTTCGCATGTTGATATGAAGCTCGGGCATCACCTTATCACAGATTGCACAGGTTCGGTAAGCCATGCTTATCTGTTTTTCTGTAGAATTATGCCAAAGTTTAATCCAAGGGTAAGAATGAATTGCTGCCAAAATGTTTACTATCATTAACGAACTAGCATGAACTCAGCTGCCACAGACTCTCAGCTCTGACGAACGCGATGAACCCGTCGAATAAACACTCACAAAGAAATTAATCGAGGCGATTACTTACCGACAGTTTTGCTTCGCACTGCAAAAATCTGAAGGGCTGTGACGAAGAGCCGTGTAAAGGACGCAAACTCCATGCTGTGTATGAATAGAACAAGCTGAAAGCGCAGTTGTGCAGGGTTTGACGACTTTGTTGTTAGTAATCGAGCTATGAATGAATATGTCCGTGCCTAGTTGTTAAACCTCCGTACGATACAGAGTCGCCATCTAGAGTTCGAAACGGGAAAGCTTTCCCTTCGGAGCGTTCGGTGATTCAAAACACAAAAGGCGTCAATCGTTTTTTTTTTTTTTCCTGGAAATGCGACGCTTTTTTCTTCCATGTGCTTGTCGATGAGAAACAACGAAAGCAGTGAAAGTGTGGATACACTATTACCTTTGCATGTCTAGTTGTAGCAATGGGGATGCATACATGGAGACATACCAAACACCGTCACTTGAATCTGCTTGGTAAGCGGGTTTTGTAAGCCGTTGTCAGCTGTGCATCGGTAGTTCCCTGCGTCGGATTTGGTTGCCTTCAGAAAAACCAGACGGGGACTTTGAGCACTGAGAGCCATTCCTGCGTAAAGACACAATCCTTCATTATTAGCGTTTGCTGCGCGGAAATCACTTCTTACAACGGAATGCGTTTCTATGTATAATAGATTTTATTCTTTGTTATTATTCCTTTAACGCACCGTGCTGTTCGCAGTGTGTAACTACTTTTGAGAATATGGGTGTATACCTGTGGCTCAAACAAAACAAATCACTAAGGTAATAATGGGAGAAGCACTTGAAGCAATGCTCTGGACGCGTTGGACTGAGAGCCGACGTTTTGCCAAGAGACTTAGCTCCTTAAGACCCCATGTTAGAGTACAACACCAGAATTTGTGGCGTGTTTTTTTTTACAGTGCCTTGTGCCGCCTAGTTGCCAAACCTGTTTCTTTTCGTTTAGCTGTTTTTTTTTTTTTCTTTTTCCTGACTGCGCTTTTGTCTGGTTGTTAATGGCCCGTGCAGGTTCGACCGCGGTATGAACGTCCAACACCTCCAACTAAATACTGTTATCCTCAGTCTCGCCCTTCGCGTAACATCTTTTTTCTGATTAGCCTTTCTGGGGGGCTCAGAGTACTATATGCAAAAAACAGCTGGAACAGTTTTTGAAACTCACCTTCCTTCGTCCACTTGATAGTTGGTCTCGGTACGCCGGTCGCTTCGCAAATCACCGTTGAGTTTCCTGTTTCTTTCAAGGATACGTCCGCAGGCTCATGAATCCATTTTACGGGGACTGCAGACAACAAAAAAGTTTAATCCCATAAACAATGGCAATATTTGTTAACGGTATTTTTTTTTTTTTTTTTTGTGCAACCGGCACACATTTACAACAGCCAATATCTTTGCTTCGGACGGCAAATATGGGTGGTTTCATCTCAAATCGTGCAGGCAAAAAGGGTCAAATATTTAATTTCGATGAAAAAAATCTATGTTATGGCGCCGTTTCTAAAAACGCAGTCGCCACGAACCGCAAGTTCGTCGGATTTTTTGTTCTCGACTTATGCATTTTTAAAGAGGCCGCGGCGAAAAGCAGTGTTTTTCACGCCCGTCGTGGGTCGGATGTTTCGCTTGATCTCCCGCCGTGGATTTTCAGTCCATATTATATTATCTTTTTTCAAGCACTCTGTGGACACATTTAAAAGGCTTCAATACCATAAAATAATTTTAGGCGTTTTTTTCTTTTTTTTTGTAAAAATGTTAAAAACACCCCCTCGGTCAATTGTTGACGAACTTTGACAATTAAATACTGGCGATCTACTTGGGTTACATCAATATTTTTTATGTCAGCGGAGAGCCCAAAACACGCTCTTTATATGTATTATAAAATGACTCGACTGTATAAGATATCCTTTGCGGTACGTTTAAGTTAATATGTGAAAACCAAAAAGTACCATTTTTGAAATTGATTTTCTCAAAAAACCCATTTTTTTATTTTTTTGTTAAAATGTAGATGTGATAGTTTTCTACACGAAAATCAAGTCGAGAAAGTGTGTATTCTGTTTGTATGTTCTGTATTTAAGCATCAATATTGTACAAAAACGTGTTTTTACGGCTCGAAATGGGACTTGCGAATTGCGCGTCTTCACAAACTTGGAAATATTTTTGCCTTTTCCAACCTTCCCACATAATAATCAAATATAGTATTGATTATTTAAATTTTATTATAGGCGGCAAGCTACATCGGAGAAGTTCAAAAGAGAAAGCAACACTTCTTCACAGACCAGCCGGTGTCGTACATTTTTAACGTGTAGGAGTCGGCGGACGTCGTATTGCTTCGGGGCCCTCATTGGCCTGCGTGAACGTCCCGCCCTTTCGGAGCCAGCAGATGACCACGACCTTTCGCGCTCGTTGTGTTAGATAGGACGGTCCGTGACAGTAAAGCGAGCAGCGCACCCTGTGTCACGAGGAGTGACATGGTACGAATGTGTCGTTGACGTGGCGAACAGTGACAGCCACCCAGGAGGAGTCAGTCAGACTATTGCACAAGGGAAAGCAAAGGAATCGTTGCCTGAAAAGATGAGGACACCACGGCCTTACAATGTCGACGGTCAACAACTGTTCTGCCAGCCAAAACAACGCTGCGTGCGCGCTAAAACCGGCGGTGCGAGACACAAATCCCGCAGACGCACACACGAACATGGGCCGGTTTCGTTAGGGATGTGGGGAAATTTGAAACCAGCCATCCGTGCATGCGTGAAACGATACCGCCTGTTTGCCCTAGCTTCGAGCGCCCTATCCTTACCTTGAAACGGCCGTGCTCTATCTCTCTCCGGGGAGATCCGATATCACCGAAGGGTTGTCTATTAAACTTGAGGAAGAAAACGAGAAGGGACTGTTTAAGTTTAATTATCCCGAGCAACCCGCTCGTTCTGTCCTTATAAAGGTTTATCTCTTTTGGAAACAGCAAAGCCCGGAGACTGACATTAAAACGAGCGTGTTGGTAAATATACTTGTGTTTGTATTCTGCTCGGAGACTAGTTGGGTCGAAGGCAGCCTCCTGGTCAACTATAACCGTTTGTGAAGAGTGGGCTTCTCCCGAGATGAAAAGTTAGCGCCGGCTGACGTGTTCTGTTGAAAAAGGGAAGGGGAAAGAGAAAGTTTGAGTAACTGCAGAAACTACCTCGAAAGCTCCTCTCCCGATATGAAGCTTGAGGCATAGTCTCGGTTACCTTCTCGCGCGTCGCTGTTCGAATCTATTCTTAACTTTGTTTCGCAAAGCCACTGTTCCGCACAGCCGTCGTGGATGTGCGTAATAGAGGGAGGAACCGATTCGAGCATCATCTGGACGCCGTCATCCTGCCAGACTTCAGTGTCGTGGGACCGACTCGTGTGTGTTTCTTCGCCCCGCTGAACTTTGTTTCTCGGGTGCGGTTTTTTCTGAACGTTTTTTTTTCAGTGTTTTCTTACTAACTGTTTGTTAGCACTGTTCAGTTGTTGGGTTTGTATCGTCATGGCGTAGCGGCCTGGCGGTGATGTAGAGAGCGTGTTCACACGCATTTGGTTGCGTCCCGTTTAGGGGATGCCCGGAGGAGTTGGTTTTTGTTCTTGCCATGTGCGGCTGAGTTTTCCCGTCTTTATTAAATTTTTTTTTTTTTTTGTTTTACCTTTACGTGTCGTCGACTTCTTTATCTGACTCTCCACCAGGCGTGGACCTATCGCCTTGCCACCGCTCGAGCCTAAATACTTAATTTTTTCAACAGAATTTTCGTTGAGATCGGAGTTGGGCAATTTAATTCGTATTTATTTATTTTTATTTCCTACCCCTCTCCGTGACACACTCTCTGTGTGTTTCGGACCGTTTCTGTGTCATCACTTTTGTGTATTACGGAAGTAAAAAGGACATTCCCTAATGACCTGTGCGATGTGCGGTGAACAAACCCCAGTGTTTGGTTTCGGAAAGAATTGTATATAATATATCGACGATGTGGTGACTTTCTTTGTCTTATTAATATGACAGGTAATAGCTAGTCGTGCCAGTTTACTGTGAAAGGTTTATAAATCAAAACAATGCAACGTCTGTGCCTTTTGGTTATTGAAAGTCTACTAGGCGTGCTGATTTGGTTAGATATGTATCTCGTGGTTCCCGCTCTTATCAAAACATAAATAAATATTCAATACCACGAAATCCGTTTATAATTGATTACAAAATGCAGAAGAAAATCCAAGAAAACTTTTTCACTATTCATAGAGTCGCATGGGTCGCTAGTCTGACTTAGGTCTTTCAAAACAAAGACGTCTTTTTCCGATATTGAGGCCTAAATATAAAACATACAAACAAAATACACACTTTCTCGGCTTGACTTTCGTGTAGACATCTATCATATCTACATTTGAACAAAAATTTAAAAAAAATTAAAAAATAAGTTTTTTTGAGAAAATCAATTTCAAAAATGGTACTTTTTGGTTTTCGCATAATATTAACGTAAACGTACCGCTAAGGATATTTTTTTCAGCCGAGTCATTTTATAATACATATAAAGAGTGTGTTTTAGGCTTTCCGTGGACATAAAAATATTAATGTAACCCAAGTAGATCGCCAGTAATTAATTGTCAAAGTTCGTCAACTATTGACCGAGGGGGCGTTTGTGACATTTTTACAGAAAAAAAGCAAAACGCCTAAAATTATTTTATTGTATTGGAGCCTTTTAAATGTATCCACAGAGTGCTTGAAAAAAGTTGATATAATGTGGACTGAAAATCCACGGCGGGAGATCAAGCGAAACATTCGACCCACGACGGGTGTGAAAAACCCTACTTTTCGCAGCGGCCTCTTTAAAAATTCATAAGTCGAGAACAAAAAACCCGACGAACTTGCGGTTTGTGGAGACTGCGGTTTTAGAAACGGCGCCATAACATATATTTTTTTCATCGAAATTTAAAATTCGACCCTTTTTGCCTGCACGATTTGAGATGAAACACCCATATATACAGACTCATATTCGGCGATTGCGACGTGTCGTAAGTTGACGAAAGCTCCGACATCTGATAAAAAATATTCATGATTTTACGTGTTACACAAGATAAAAATGTCGGCGCATGGACAACATTATTCAACTTTCCTACCCGTTTGAAGGTTGAAACATGGCATAAGTAACGATAAATGAGCTCGCGTAATTCATTCCTCACGAATGCGGATTCGAGTGTACGGGGTCGCTTACCGAGTACATGGAGCATTTCAGTGTGGGAGTCCTTCTGGTTCCGCAGTTTTCCCACGCATGTGTAGTTTCCCGAGTCCTTTTGTGTCAAGGGGTCCACGACGAGGGTCGACATGTCGGGATAGGACCGAACCCGAATTCTGTCGTCTTGCACCAGCTTTCTCCCGTCTTTGAACCAGGTAAACTCAACTCCCGAGGAGATGCCTCCCGTAACAGTTGCACACATTGTAGATACTTTGTTGCCCTCGATTGCATCCGTCGGAAACGAAAAAGGCTGCAAGCGAAACGTTCTTCCTGTAGGCCAGAAATAAAAACAAGCGGTTACGGTCTCGGCTGAATCATTTTCGGGAGTCAAACGCTGGATGCAAAACTTGTGTACTTGCGCCTTTCGTTCCACACTCACCTGCCTGTTGTGCATTGGCGGGGATGGTAAACTTGGAGATGGAGATGAAGATAATAGCACCGAGGTGGTAGAACATTTTACAATAGAGTGCGTCTTCTTTGCAAGTACGCCTGAGACGCTTCGTCATTTTACTCATAGGCGTACGCCGTGCGGCAGAGATTCGGTCTCTGGTCGAAAACCGCTGGCGCCATCTCTTGTCCCGTTATTCAGGCACATTACCGCTGGATTTGCTCGAACTTGAGATTCCACGAATGTTGAACTTGTTTCCTTCGCCTTCATCTTGGTCAAGCGCCCATGCCCCTTACTCCGTCCTAATTTGGCGAATTTTTAATCGAGTTGCTTCTTTATGCACGCACACTTTAGATGATGCTCTGTTAAACGCAATGGCTACTAATACGGTGGATAATACCTTGAGTTTAATGTGAGCTTGTTCAACATGCAAAGTGGATATTGCACTTTCTTCCTAGTCCCGGGTTTTCAACCGTTGTTATGCGCTCGTTAATTAAAGCGCAAGGCTGCAGCTGCCATTTTATAGGTGCTTCCAACGAAGAGAATGCTCACCGAAAATTTTAATTCTTATTTCCTTGGACAACGTGCCTGGGAGTCCGTTGCCGGCTGTGCAGACGTATGTCCCGGCGACGTCCTTGGTTGCCTTCGAAATGGTCAGCAGCTCTGCACGGGACTTGTTGACCGGAACCCCATTCGTGTTTCCTGAAACGTTTCGTGTCCTCAGTTCTTCAAGTAATCCCTTCAATATCTGCTACCTTAGCTCTTCTCAAACTCGCACATCCAGAAAGTTACTCAAGGGCAATAGTTATACGCGTAAAGCTTAACATGATTGCGTTGATCGAGTCAACATTTTTAACTATTGTGGTTACCTTTTAGCTTCCATTGAATAGTCGGTGTCGGGCGTCCTGTTGCTGCGCATCGAACAGACAGGTTCTGTCCCTCCCGGAGATCAGCGTCGTGCGGTTCATGAATCCACTTAGGTGGAACTGCGTACCATGGCATGCATAAGAAATATGTACCACTAAAACGCGGATCAATGCATTGACTTTATTCGTGTCTTAACAAAAACAAAAGGCAGCATATCAAATGTATAAACTTCTACCTTTTATAATTTTTTTAAAATCACATCCGTTTTGCTTTTCTGACTGACACCAGAGATGTACTGAGTTTATAGATTGCAGAAAATGTCAAATTTGAACGCATATAAGCCGTTCGCACTCGGCATCGTAATTATTTTAAAGATCGTAGTGAAGATTTCCGTCAAGGTGGAAGAGTTAACTCTTTCTGACTAGAGTGAGCTTACAGCTAGGGCCTTTTTCAAACAATTTGAGACTGATTTACATAGTAGAACTCTCAATACTGTGGAGACTTCAGTAATCTCGGTATTTCCGAAAATTGATTTTGTTTTACTCATTTGTGTTGCGAACTTCGCAACAGCATCGACATGCTTAACAGTTTTTTTTATCAGGATTCTTCTCCTTTTTTTTTATGCAGAAACGTAAGAAGAACTATTTTGTAACGTTGTCCGGACAAGCTCACCCAAGACGGACAGCACTTCGGTGTGGGAATCGCTCCTGGACCTGGCGGTACCGGTGCAAGTGTAGTTACCGCTGTCGCCTTCTTCGAGAGGACCGATGACGAGGGTCGAGACATCCGGGAAGGTTCTTAGTCGCACGCGAGAATCCGACTCGGAAGCGGCTAACGGGCTGCCGTTTTTGTACCACCGAAACTGGACGTTGGGAATTTCTTCCACGGTGGTGCACATCACGGAGACCTTCGTGCCCACAACTGTCTTCTCCGGAAACACGAACGGCTGGAGCCGGACGGTCAATGCCACTGGAAAGAATATCAGGAGCCGTCAGCTGGACAAGTTGTGACTGTGCTTAAAAACTTAATTGAGGCTGTGCTTAATGTCTACAACGGGTAGAACAAAACTGCAACATGACGTATAGATCAACGCAGCGCAGGAAATCGTAACTTTCAGAAGCAATGTTTGTACCGCTCGTGTATGTTTTTTTCATTTGGGTTTTCTATACGAGTCATCGATGTACGTCTATGACTATCTATATCTGAATTATGCTTTGTAATTAATTTAACTGGTACCGTCTTCTCCGGACGAAGAAGACGCTGGTAACTCGGGAGTTTCTTTTTTTTTTTTTTTTTAGATACCAGTCAGCTTTGTAGCTTACATATCAATTTATGTTGTTCGTGTCCACATTTAACAGTGCCGATAGTGTAGAACATAAACCTTCATCCGCGAAGAATAAAAAAATATATTGTGAAAAACCGGTGATCGCGAATTTGGGCTATATGTATCGCGGAAATACATCGAAAGAAAAAGGGCACCGGTCTAACCGCGGTCGCGTGACGCGTGAATAAAGCGGCTGTGGTCTAACAAAGCCACAATTCAAAGATGCTAGCAATTCGAAACACGGTATTTACATCGTGAGTTTGTTGCGAACAGTTGAACGTAAAAACTCAGTCAACTTGTTTTGAAACCGAATATAAGTGCATTGGAGAGGAAACAGGATGTGTCACTTCCCTGAACAGTATTCTTCATCATAATCATATTAATAGCTAGCGTTTTAGGGGGAAGTGCTTGCAAGTCGAATGCTTCCCGCTTACCTCTACTTGTTCCCAGAAGTATTATGCAGGCGAACAGAACATCATAGCACATTGCTACTGCGACAACAAACATGTCCCCCTACATGTCTCGCTGGCAAAACCGGGTAGCTCGGCAATAGATGATGCTGTGACGTAATGAATGGGGATCATGGTCCCTGCGTTGGCGCCGTCCCGCCATCTAGCTTGAACGTTCGGAAACGCGGAAACAATATTTAGCCTTGAATTTCATGTTGTGTAAAGTCTGTTTGCTCGCTTAGGATTGTGGACGACTAAAGGACGTCGCACAATGCGTGCGAACAAGTTTCATTTATGCTATATCGCCAGCATACGAGTATCAGCTCAGTTCTTTTTATTATATTCGTTGAAAATTGAACATTAATCCTTTATAATATTTCTACTCTATGAATCTTATCAATTGCCTCGCGGCTTGGAACCTGTTCTTCTGGTGTAAGAAATGAACGGGTAGTCAGCAGTGTTACTTCCCTGGTTATACTTGACACGCGTGTTTAATTAAGTGTTAATAGCGTCAACACACAATGTTCACAGTCCCTCGAACTCGAGCATCCTCGAACTGTGTAGCTATTAAATAACGAAACTCATATTAAAAAACAAAACACAAAAAAACGCAATTGTGATGTTGCCTTTTTCTATGTACTCCCGTCCCCTGTCCTTACACGGCTCCATGCAAATCTTCAATTGCTTAAGGCAGTGCTGTAGATCGTCAAGTGATAAGGCCTTCATGAGTTCCGTCAGGGATTCATCAACAGATGAAGGCTTCATCAACAGAGTCAAACCTTGTTCCTTTCAAACCAGACTTGATATTGCGGAATATGAAAAAGTCAGATGGGGCTAGGGCAGGTGAGTACCGCGGATGATCGAACACAGTGATCTTATGATGAGCCAGGAACGACATGACTGACAAGGCTTTGTGTGCTGGCGCGTTGTCTTGATGAAGGATCCACGAATCGTTCCTCCACATTTCAGACCTCTTTCTTCCAACCCGCTCTCTAAGAGTTTGTAAGACACTTTTGTAGTAGGCTTGGTTTACTGTCTGTCCGTCAGGCACCCAATCCGCGTGAAAAATGCCTTTGATATCGACAAACACGATCATCATTGCATCGTACTTGAATTTTGTATGTCGCGCCTTTTTCTGCCTTTGTGAACTGGGACTCTTCCAATGCATTGATTGGCGTTTGGTTCCTCGGTCCTACTTAAGAAAACAAAGATTCCTCACATGTAATTTTGTTTTCTAAAAAAGCTTGGATCGTTTTCAATGGAGAACTTTAAGTTGATCTGTTGCTCCATTTTTAGAAACTGCGAGATTCCGACAGCCTGACAAGTACGCTCCTATTTTGACAAACGCTGCCGCCAGACGTCGGCCGCATTACCTTGAAACTTTCATATCTGACGTAGGAGATAACAATAAACAATACAGCACACCGTTCGCTCTTGATAAGTTGAAAAGGAAGTAAAACGAAAATCAGTCTTGTTATTTAGTAACCCACACTTTACGTAGCACCACTTGCATTCGTCAATGCAGATATTATTACTTTTTATTTTCGTTGTATCAGTTGAATTGTCCTTTCGGCGGTAAACCCTTCATTGTAAATTATTAACTGACATGAAGTACACGATGCTTGATTCTAATTCACTGCAGCAAAAGACCGAAACCTTTTTCTTATAGTAGATAAGCAGAACGATGGCGCCGCCGATGGTTGTCCGTGCTGTTGCGTCTGAGAGAAAAGGCGCAAAGTTTCGAACCAATTTGCTGCGGCTTATATTCGGATCAGAAGATACGTGCAGTGCTGTGGAACGCACATCTGCAAGCGCCTGGCTGTGAAATTCGGTATATTCGCCTGAACACTCGTGCAAGCGAAGAAGTCTACAAAGCTATGCCGCCACACTGATGTCTTCGAGGACTTCACACCTGTCATGTTCACGTTATCGTAAAAAAATTAATCAATCACGATCGCCTTTTCTAACGGTCAAAGTGGTGTTTCTTTGGCAACATTCACATCACTCTAGTACCTAGCTTTGTCAGTGATGGAAGTGCTGTGCCATTCGCGCCAGATTGCGCCATGAACCAAAGTATGCTCTCTCTTGCGCCAAAATGTTTGTTCTTGCTAAAAATTGCGCCACACCTGCTTCAAGATCCAGAAAAAGAGTATTTCATCATTTGGTCGGTCTTAATATTTCGAGAAGTAGACGGAAAAAAAATGATACACATATGTATTTCACGGTGTCGCGTGTCGCATCGTATAGTTTGTTTCATCTTAGGCCAGAGCACGGTCGAAGGCTGGAACAGGTGCAACCCCGTACACACATTGTAAAAGCGCAAGTCGCCGGTTATTCGCTGCACTTGATCTGTTTAGCCCATGAGAGAAGACGTACCGAAAGGCGACACATATTCGTGATGTCTCGCCTTTGACTTTGTTTGAGTGGTCCCATTGTCTCGTAACTTCGGCTTTGCTTTTAAGATGAAACGGCGTGTAGAGATTCCTCGTAAAGCGCGTCGGCCCCGTCATCTTCTGAATTCCCAGACGATTTCGGAAATGTCACGTGCTAAGGGTCGCGAGAACAATTTTGTGAAAAAGTGGGATGGCGGTTGTGGTGATAAGACGTAACCAGGGTCTCTTTCTTCATATAAGATCACTCGATTATCTTGTCTGTCACAGGCCTCCATGCCTTGGCTACCGTCTACCGTGGCACTCGCGCCGCTCTCGTCACACCCACCAGCGTACGCGCGTCGAGCTTCACCGCTTTGCACCGGAGTGCTAGGAGTAGCGGTGGACAAGGGGCAGAACCCGGGTGAGGGCGATTGGCTCGGAGATTATGCTCAGCACTGTTACAGGTCGACGTTTCTTCGGTCTTGGCTATAGGTTCACCTATAATTTTCAAAAACTGTGCTGAAATAGGAAGAAAAAATGAAAATACACGGGACCTATAGATTTTTTTTTTTTAAGGCAGTCAATTGGAAGGGCAGTGAACTTTGACTCAATTCTGGTGAACCGCTACTAAAGCGCAGTGTCACTTTTAAAGCGTAGCTGTAGGTTTTCCTAATATTTGTGGGTGGTTGTTTCTGCAGTTCATAATGTCGAAATCTTGAGTTGGAGTTGGGTAATAAAATTTGATCGGGCTGGGGAGAGGGGGAAAAAAGAAGGAAAAAAGAAAGGCGAAAAAGGGGGAGGGGGGGCGTTTTTTTTTTTTTAATTGACATTTTTTTTACATGTTTTTTTCTTTTTTTCTTTTTCGAAGGCAGTTTAGAGCAATTATATGCACAAGCTAGACAAACTGCCGAGTGTAAAAAGAGGGGGGGGGGGGGGGGCAGAGGCTTGATTTTAACTGATGTGTTGGTCAATGCTTGATTTTACAGGGGAGCTGTTAAGGGCTAGTTTCCCCCGGATCGTGCCCTTCCTCAAATGATCTGATGACACAGAACTCTGAACAGCTACCGCTATCTATGAGCGACGGCGCCAACCAGGCAACCGCCTTGCTGGTTGTCTGGTTGCCTCCGCCGCTCATAAATGGCGGCAACCTTTCGAGCCTTTCCACTCTGGCTTGCCAATTTGCGGCAGGCCATTACTTCATTCCCACCATAGTACAGCTTCGCTGGTCTTCCTTCATCATAGTGGAAAGACTGAAAGTTTTTTTAAGCATTTTTAGTCCCTATTGTAAGTGAAACCTACCTGACGTGAGCCTTATTTCCAGAAAGATGTATGTGTGTTCTTTTTGCGTCATATCTATTCTGAATGGTAACTAATGTGCTCCAGTATCAAAGAGGACCCCTTTAGAATTATCAAAGACAAACTGCTTTAGCGATGCAGTCACTTGTCTTTTTTTCAACTGATGTGTTAATAGATGTTGGTACGTGCACTAAAAGCGTCAGTAGCTGCTCCAAACCAAATGCGCGAGTGTATATTACCGTCGCAACTGTAACGTCCTTCGCCTTTTTCCTTTTTTTTTTCTTCTTAGGCTTGCATTTGGTGCGTTTCACCGCACTACGTGAAGGCACATTGAAGATCACGAATCGAAGATATCAGATGAATTTTCAATATTTTGAAACATTGGGCAAACATTGCAAATGGGTAATTTAAAACATCTGGTGAATTTTCAGTAGCGACCGGGCAGTACTGGAAAGGCAGTGGAAAACCGCGATACGAAATATTCATTAATGTCTGCTATTCTGAAATATTAGAAGGCCATTTGAAAACAGCCTTGCAAAATATCCAGCGATTTTTTTATATTGTCAAACTTTGGAACTAACATTGATCTATGACAATAATGCAATTAATGCAAAGGTGCAAGCGAGCTGGACAAGGATGACCATATTAATCCCCAGAGAATCGGGAACAAGGGGGACAAAGGACAAACACAAATGTCGCGCACCCGTCACCTAGCTGTGTTTGGAGATTTGTGTTTGTCCTTTGTCCCACTTGTTCTCAGTGACGTCACTACACTAAGAAAAAGTTGGGGTGGCGCGGATTGCACCGGGTGCAGCGCTCAGGGGAGTGCAGCTGGGCAGTGAAGTTGGGGGGGGGGGGGGGCGGTTCGGTCTCGGCACGCCCCCGGTGCCGCTGACCTTAGTGACACCACTGCTTGTTCCCCTTCTTCAGGGATTATTATCATCGACCTATGATAAGTTCTATGATATCTGGTGAGTTTTCGGTATTGCGCAGAATTGTAATACCATTGAAAACTGCGATCCACATGATTTAATTTGCAGTATTGTGCACTATAGAAAGGCCATTGGAAATTAGCAGTCCAAGCTGTTGAACTCCTATTCAATATTCTGCGACGTCCGGAATTCATCGCTACCCAGTTAAAATTTATTATCAGCCAATGCGTGCAGTAAGTCATCAGCGACTCCCTCGATATCAGTAACAGACATGATTAGTCGGCCCATTCATAGATCATTTTTCATTGGTACAGCGAATAGACAACAGAGGGCGTCGTCCGCTCTCTGCGCCTATCGGGAGATGGCGCCACAAGTTACGTTCGTCATTAACTCGGTCGTCTGCGAGCACGATCGCCTTTGATTTAGTTAAGTTTGTTGGTCTCACTTTTTTACAGAAA